GGTCATGATTCGCTGCGCTACAGAATGTATGTGATCAAGGCGATCGTATCTACAATCCAGCTGCAAGATGCTGCATGGCATTGCACAAACAATGCAAGGCAGGCGGCCCTCGCTTTGCATTAAACTCGGCAATGCGCTCGCCATAGTCCTGCAAAGTTCTGATGGCTGCGGGTACTCTAAGAACTCTAGACCCTTCCCGACCCGCAGTGCCGAATGTCACTGATCCTGGAGGTGCCTGTTTCAGCTTCCAGCGTAGCTACTTCTGTCATCACCTTTTTCAACTTTTCTTGCCACTCTTTTTGCAGAGTTGCGGGAGCTCACTAAAGCAGGTGGAAAGACGTTCTTGCCCCTTCCCTTCTTCATCTCAAGCTGCAAGCAAAGTCGGTCGAGATGTGAAAGGATGAATGCATACTCGTTATGATGTAGTCTCAAGATACTCCTTTTTAGCAAAGGCCGTCGTCAACGTGGGCATGTGCCTTCCTCGCATCCTTGAATGCCTTCACGACGAGCAAGCCACCGAACAAGCGTGTCATGTTGGGCCGTTTTGTCGTTGTAGGTGTGGGCTACGACGCCATCGAAATTTCTGCACTGCCTGGAAAACGTGGACCCCGCCGACATGCGGCTGGACACGGTTCAAGCAAACGTGGCCCAACACTGCTGCAGAAACATCAAGCAGAACCAACGTGTCCAGGAGAAATGGAAATCGATCTGGTCTCTGTCATGCGCTTGCAACCTAGAGTTTTCGTCATCGGTTCTGCAAGCACGCAGCTCACCAAGCATGCTGACCAACCAGGAAGGTTTTCGTGCTCTGGAGATGGTGCTGAGTCCTTTGTATAGTCCTTGACCCACTCCTGCGAGCCATCGACCCCATACCTGAGACAAAGCAGTGCAAGTGGCCCATGCGACAATTCTTGGAAGCCCGACGCACATTCAAGCGGACAGCCAAAAGCCCAAAGGGCAGCTGACAGTGCTCCTACAGCAAATCGATCCCCCTGCAGTGTCTGACCTGTAGACCCAGCCTCTTGCAAAAGCCGTTGCGCATTCCATGCTCGTCGTACCTGGGAAATAGCACGGCCCGTGCACCACGGCTAAGCCTAACCTGCAGTGGCTCGCGATCTCTGGGTGCCACACTGAATTTCGGATTTTATTTGCCCTCCTTCATAATACTCCCTCCAGTGTCCAGCCTTCCAGTGCCAGGCTGGAAGGGCTCTGACCGAATTGATGTGGCAGTCTTGCTGCGGGCCAATGACTTGTCTAGGTGGCTTCTTCAGCACAGGCTGCCTCTTTCAAACTTCAGGCTTCAGCATGATTTAAGGGGAGCCGGCCACGAGCTCTTTAGATTTGATTGAAAAGCATACAATGCCAATGACAAGCTGGAAAAAAAAAACGAAGAAAAATTCGAAGAGAGGATTCCCAACAACACTGTAAGTCCAAGTTCATGCGAGCCTTCCTTGCTTTCATCGTCCGTTCATCCTCGACAAAGAACCTAAGTCCGTCAGCACATCTTGAAAACGCCGGTGTTTGAGAGTCGGTTCGGGTCTACCAGGACAGGGCCTGCAAGCTGTGCATGATGCTACTGAGCTGTGAGCTACTTTCGCTTGCCAAGCAGCAGCTTCTCTGACTTCATCCGCTGGTTCGGGTAGAAGTGCTTGCGGCTCAAGAAGGGCTGGCAGACGCAAAGTCAATCCGACAATCCACAGTCAAGAAAAAACTTCACGCTACTCTAGCGCGGGGTTCTTGCAAATTTCCATGCTTGGAAGTGGAAAGACTCCCCGACGGAACCGCGCTGATTCCGCTCCGATGACCCTGATCTTGTTTGCCTTGACATTTGCGCAAGTAATCGCTTTGACATGGGAACTTTGGATTCATGAAATCTCCCATCCCTTCGGGAGTGCGAGCCTGAAGGCTGCTTGTAGAAGGAGGCCAGCTAAACTTCAAACTATGGAATTTGTTGGTCTCCCATTGTCCTATTACTTTCCTTCTGCGGCGAGAATCGGTGGCACCGCGGATCTGCAATAATTTTTTGGAAGGGTTGCCATATACAATCTGAAGTTTATGCACTTCAGAAGGGCATTGATGTTCATAGAGTCATTGCTTTCAGTCACCCGGGTCTTCCCCCGGCACAACCCCGACATGCCACTTCCAATTCACCACAACAAAGTTCGTCGAAGACTCCGCTCTTTCATAAACTTCATCGAACCTGCCTGATTTCACACAGCATCTTCTCTCCATGGCTTCGATTGGTCTTCACGAAGTCAAACTAACTGCGGACCTCCTGACACCCAACTTTCGTGACATTGCTTTGACGACGGCTCTGCCTCCGAAGCCCAACATCCATAGCCATCCGGCTGTGCGTAACTCACATCAAATGCCCACAACACCTCAAGGTCGCCAAATCGGATCCAGCCGAAGTCAACCAAAGCCCTACATCGACGAATTGTGCTCAACGCGCATTCGCCGCTTCATCATAGATAGGGCAACATGTGCGCAAATGCATGTTCTCATTGCCTGCCCCAAAGCAAAGTGAACATCGACACGGCACACACCTGCCAAATCAGCAGCACAACGTCTAGGATCAAGTTCGGCTTATGCGTTGATATGTTGCGAGACGCGAGAGGCATGCTGCAGCTGCACTTCTAGACTTTGTCGTGCTGGAATGCTGATCCGCAGCTTACAAGGGCAGAGCGCTCTGTGGTTTAGGTTGGACCAGGGTTCGCACTTGCGCCGAGATGTGAAAGTAAACTTGCCAGGGGCACCGTCCACATCAAAGTGTTTCTCTTCGACCACTCTCTCACATGCCCGCCTTGCGAGGAAGGTGGGATCAACACGACGGCGCAAGCAAACATGACCCTATACTGACCCTGCACCTCTCCTGTGCGCCGCACAAGGTTTTGCGGCGGTGGAGGCTCTGCTTAACAGTGACTTGGCATTCATAAACACCAGCCCAAAATCCCGGAACTCAATCCTAAACCCCCTTTCAATAGAAAGAACACGGAGCAAAACAAGTGGGGCAGCAGGCTCCTGCAAACATGGACCCCCCCAGTCAAAACTACAGCAGCTTTAACACCCAAACCCTCCAGAGTCTCCACAGTTAGAAGCTTCGGCCCCAGACTGTACTGGTGCCCTTCACTGGCGAGAACGCATACGCTCACAGAGCCACTGCACGACCACCATGCAGCCAACAACACAACAGCATGCAATCGCACACACGCGCACGCGAACATACACACAGATATCACAGAAACATCTCCGTTCGATCCGTGGACATTGTTCGAGGTATGAAAAGAGTGAGCGAAACGAAACCAACCTGAAAGACATGCAATGCTGTAAGAGAAGATGAATAGAATCTCTTCAAAGTGAAGAAATAATATGTTGTGAAGGAGTCTCTAAATCCGCCGAGGCCTCGGGCCGGAGGTGTATAGGTTGTCAGAACAGGCACCCCCCTCCAAATCCTCCCTCCACACCCAAAACCATTTTTCGGACCCCTTTTTTTGCCTCAAATGGTACCCCCCTGGGAAACCGGGTCCGCAAGCGGACGGTTCGCCAGGACCAGAGGCAGTTGAAGTCCCTCCCAGGCAGGGCCCCCCCCCCTTTCCTGTTCCCCCCCCACCAACCCTGCCCCCCCCCCCAACTGCTCAAAATGCAAAACCTTAAGCCAAACCCCCCCCCTCCCCCCTTCTGAGGGGCCTGGCTCAACCCACGATCACTCCAAGCCGAACCCTAAACCCAAAAAAACCCTAAACCCCAAAGCGTGAACCATGAGCCCTAAGCCCTCAATCCTAAACTAACCCTCAACCCCAAACCCCAAACCATAAACCATAAACCCGGAACCCTAAACCCTAAACCCTAAACCCTAAACCCTAAACCCTAAACCCTAAACCCTAAACCCTAAACCCTAAACCCTAAACCCTAAACCCAACCCTGATTGCTTGGGGTCCAGCGACTTGGGCGCTGCGGAATCACCATGCTCACGCGGATGCGCTGGGCCGGGCCGAGGCGGGTCGCGTAGCGTTAAAATTAATCAGAGCATTCGATTAGATAAAAGAAGTGCACTAGCAAAAGTTAATTCACAAGGATCTGGAGGATAGAAAGCTTCTCCAGGCCACATCCCTATATAAAGTTGGACAAGATATGAAATGAAAATATGTCTGAAAAGATGTCCAAAAGAAGGATACAAATAATAGAGCTTCAGAGTCTCGAAAACCCCTAAAAAGAATAAACAACGATTATTAATAAGACTTCACAATATGTTTTAGTGATTTCTCCTGATAAAGCTCTAGACTTCTTGTCCGACCAGGCGCGCGAGACCACACAAGAAGCATTTTTCGCTGCTCTTAGGCTGAGCCGAGACCCGTACTGCGTGACGGTCGGAGCAAGTCGAAGGTAAGTGCGGAAGTACCTCAAGCAGGAAGAGCATGGGCACTTTTGAGGCCGATCCCCTACCCAGCACTCTGGTCGGGCGGCCCTGAATCATGATCTTAGGCGACAGTGCCAATAAGCCGGGTCAGCCCTTCATCAAATGATAAGCTAGTGGTACAGCTGCCCATCTTACGACACGATCTTACACAACTCACCTGCCTCTACCGTACTGCCCGCAACCTTCTTGTCGCTCGCTCTGAGGGGCGACGCCCCTTCGGCAGGCATCGTTGAACGGAGCATCCGAGAAAGGAAGTCCGGATCTTGCGAGTTTCGTCCCCCTAATCAGCTCCCCTGATCTACCCTTCCAGTCCGAACCTCTTCACCCTCAGAGCATGGCATGTCGGAAGGTGCAGTTTGGCACAGTCTCAGCTTCAACTTACGGCTCACCCAAGCCAAGCCACCCTTCCACCCTGCCCCAAACCTCCAACCTCCATACTGACTAATATCTCTTCCTTCATCTTCTTCCTCTTTATGGGCGTCCAGAGTCTTGTCTTCAGCATACACAGCAGCTTCGCCGAGCCTGATGCACGTGGTGGTGTGCTATGGCTCAAAACTCTATGATAGTTGCCATTTGAGAGCACTTGAGGTTGCCGTTGTCATGGTAGTACTTTTCCTCGGTTGAGGCAGGGCACAGCATCATCAGAATCGAGCTTTTTGCCGATGGAGGTCCCAGTCGTAGGAAAACATAACGAAGGAAGTGCCATCAAGGCGCTGTATACAACTTGCCATCAAGCTCGTCGGCATCAGAGTCATCCTGGTAATGTGGAAGCTACGCCGCTACCCAGCAAACATGTGCATGGCAAAGGTTGCGCCTCTTCGCTGAGATAGCCCTGCGCCAAGGCTACCTGGCCCACTTGCTCACATCGCACAAGAACCAGCCACGCGAGCTGCAAAACCAAGCTCGTGAACTCGGCAAGTCGCGCAGCTTAGGTCTCTGTGGGTTGTGATGACACGGGACATGTGTGTTATATACTCTGATGAGAGTTGGCGATGGTCATGAAGCATGAAAGTACGATCCTTGATAGCCGCATGAGATTTGAACATGGTGGCCAGTCGTGAAGCTGATGATGCAGACAACGTCAGCAGAGATAACAACTTGTGAAAGCCATACTGCAGCTGGCTCCAGAATATTCAAGAACCGCAAGGACCTGCAGTTGAGGACAGCTCTTCCGAAATGCCTCTGGCATTCAAGGAAAGCACGGGGGCACTAGGCACCTCCGTTCTGTTGCGCGTGTAAATCCGTGCCAGCTGTAGTTCCTCCAGGCTGCTCCTTGGCAAAAGCAGTTTGACCTGGTTCACACTCAGGGCCCTTATCCGCACAAAGCAGGCACCCGACCCCCCCCCCCCCCCCCACAGATTTGGCACCTTGGTACTCCATGGTACTCCCCCCAGCGACAGGAGTCCGGGAGCGAAGGGTGCATCAAAACCAGGCAGTTAAGTCCCGCCATAGGGCGCGGGCCCCAAACCCCCCCCCTCCCTCACCGTTCGCCCAGCCCCTACTTCCTCACCCCACCTTGTTTTGCTGGTGCCTTCCTCAGCATCTCCAAAAAGGGAATGACTGCTCTCAAAGCCTTGCAGCCTCACAGCACCTTCACACCCGCGATCTCTGGTTTGGGTTGCCTCACCGCTGGGCCCAGGCCGAGGTGGGTCGCGTCGCGTCAAAATTTCAGCCTAAACCTCGCACTCTTCAGCCCTACGAGTATAAGCTTTAGATCATACATGGCATCGCCATGCACCGTCAGCCCAACTGATTTTTTTTAGCGTCAAACGAAAGCAAAAAGCTCTATCGGGTGAGCCCTTCCGAGAAAGAGAGAGAGAGAGAGAGAAACAACCCTCTCACTGACTTGAGTTTCTACCTAGCAAGCAAGCAAGCTCCTCAGTGCCGTTGCATGAGTTTGCCATGTCTTTCAGCAGCCACGTCGCTTTCGCAGGTCCAGGAGCCCATTGCCGCCCGGAAGCGCCACTCGGTCCTGGCTGCATCTGGCTCATGTCTGCTGGGAGATGTCACGGGTGTCTTGAACGCACCATGGCCGATAGCCACAGCAGCCTGCATCGAGATTTCTTCATATTCGCAGACAGAAGCACACCGCTCCTCCGTGTCTCCATACCCTTTCATCGCTGCATTCTCGGTCGGCTTGGCAGGCTAGTGCTGTCTTCTGTCCGAGTGTTGCTTGCCTCCTAGCAAGCAAGATATGTCTACTATTGATCTACACTGTCGTTGTGGACCATTGTGCAGCATGGACCCTGGCATTCGCCGTAGTGTGATGTGAGTATCCAGAGGAGGAGGAGTCTATGTAGTCAGGGCCGTGCTGTCATTCGTCTCCGGCTGGGACTGTCTTCGCGTCAGGTCTTCTGCATGGGGCGCGGAGGAGACAGCAGATCAGCTACTCATCCTCAGCATGGTAAGAGTAGCACTGGAAGATTTTAGCCTGTGTGCATGATTGAAACTGGTGCAGGAGCCACTCGGCATGACCCTGCTCTAGATGACTCTAGCTCCTAACTCCTAACTTGCGCAGGAATCGTAACTTGCCGCCTACCAAACCAACTGCCAGATACCAGGATGTTGTTTGGAGCTCGCCGACGGGCCACTAACAGAATTAAGAACCATTCAGAATGTCAGATGGACAGCTGGAAAACTTGAAAGAGTCTGAGAAGTTTGAAAGTTTCGGAAGTTGGAGAGTCCGGGAAAGAGAGAGAGAGAGAGAGAGATGCCTGTGTGAGCTGGAAGTATTTCGAGCTCCCAAAGTCTATGATGGAATTGCTTGTGCCCAGTGTACCAACCATCCAACATTACAGAAACGTCAGACTGTGCTTTGTCACCTAGACTGCTTGATACGGCACATGATGACAAAACACGTTTCCTTCTACCTGCATCGATCTGGCACACTCCGCCGATCTCTCCAGGTTGGGTAGGATGGAGGCCTACAGCTGGAGCAGCTCGCTCTCAGTCGTAGTCCTTGACATCGACCCGACTCTCGCTAAAGACTTGTCCTGGCTTCCATGCAAGATGCAGATCGACTACCAGTAGGCAGGAGGCCAGGTGGAGGCTCTAGGATGCCCGGACCAGCAAGAATTTACGCACGCCTGTCAAGCTCTTGATTGCAAGCTCTGCCAGTTGCCAGACCACACTGGCGTCAGTATCCAATGCGCCCAGCAATCCGATGGTGCTGGTGGCAGAACCGAGCCGGCGACACGAAAGACGGCCTCACAGTGTGATCACTGGGTCTGCGTGGGATGGGCTCTTTCCTAGCCTATCAGTGTGTGTGTGTGTGTGAACAAACAGGTGAAGAAGGTGCGAGAAGCGCATCACGTCTGGATGCAAGACCTTTTTGCAGCCTGACTGAATCAGCATGAACCAGCACACAGGAACTGGCACCTCGCGAGATGAGCCACTGGCAGCAAATGGGAAGAAATCGACTGGAACAACAGATCCAAAGCATTGGACTCTGCTTTCGTGGCCATCCCTGACTAGAGGCGGAAGTTGCAACACGAAAACTGCCTAGTGTCCAGATTCGGCTCATGCCTGTAAGTAAAGCATCTTTTTCTGATCTTGAGGAGCCAGGAGGAGGAGCAATGGGATTCAATGCGACAAGAAGAATCTAGTGAATCTAGTGAATCCAGTGTCTACTGCAGGTGGATGGGGGGAAGCTAGAGCGAGGACACACGTTGAGTACCAGTGGACAGAACAGTAGCTGAGCAGCACAACCTGAAATCCTACCGTAGTCTCGGTGCGCGGCATAGTTGTGATCTTCCGGGCTGAGCTGGGGAATGGCAAAGTGCACCTCCTTGTAGCCCCTGGCATCCGAGCACAGCATCACATGGACCAGGGGCCATGCCATGGGAGCTCTCTCACCCCCCCCCAGCTGGGCGTTCGCTTGTATCCACTGGCAAGCATGTCGGTTGAACTGTCCATAGCCATCTTTTAGTAGCCTCGGCTGATGGCGGCAAGCAAGCACGCATGCCGACTACTTCCGAAGAACAGGTGGCGGGCATTTACATCTACAACCGATCCCGTGCAGCTTCATGTCATGGGACACCGGGCGTGCAAAGCTTGCTTTCAAGAACATCATGCCACCAGGAGGAAATTCTTCAAGACGCACATGAATCCTTGCAACACCCATATGGAGCCTCTCCAAATCCAGCGCATCGTGCTTGCTCATGGCAGGGGATGGATTGCGCCCCATGCCCCTCCAAACCGCACCAGGGAGCGCTTGCACGAAGAGGCTGGCAATCTTGAAGGGATCTCCGCCTCAGCCATATCAGCACCCAGAAACATCGCCACATTTTCTGCCACTCCCAAGTGTGCAAAGGTGAGCGCCGAAGGATGTTTTCGAATTTAAAGTAATGATGGGATTGTTAAGCTTCTCATGAAAGATGGACCACAGCAAGCCCTGGTGCTTTGCAAGGAGACGCTAGGATTGCGGCCAAATGCTCCGCAGCCCCAGGCGCCGAGAATGAGCGTGTTGGCGTCTGACAGTTTGTGTGGCCCAAGACACTGAATGCAGCAAAGAGCAAGCAAAGAGCAAGCACAAGATCAGCTGAGTAGGTCTCATGGCATCTCACACGCAGGCCTGGTTCCCACAGGTGCGGTGCTGCGAAGATGGTGAACATTGTCTGGTAGATCAAGCGCTCGTCGTTAACCTCAAATCCCGGATTCATGGAAACTGGAAATGGTTAGCCCGCCTGAAAGACATGGCTTGAAATCAAGTATGTGCGTGCAAAAACGCTTGAATTTACGTAAGCAATTTTTATAGAATTATATAGATCTATGTATGCACATGTTCCTACACTACATAAGCCGATTGTATCTAAATCTAATTCTATGCATGCGCAAACCCCCGCCCCCCTCGTCATGTGGCTTTGCTCCAAATTGCCGATGATGATTCAGACTCAGCCTACTGCAACTCAGATTTGCGGAGAACGAACACGTCTACAGTCGGCATTCGGGCCTGAAGACCTGGCAATGTCTAAGCATATTAGCTGGCTGTGGTAGGAAGTTCTTGCCTAATTCGCCCGTACCCCTCCGCACCTCCCCATGCCCCACATACCTCCCACACTCCCATGGCACTGCGCCATTGAATTGAAGTCTGGTGTCGGCTGGCCAGGCTGCGTTCCGAGCAGCATCGTTGCCGAACTTGATGTTGGGAGCAGCTGCAGCAATCAGGGACCTTTGTCGAAAAAAAAAGGGCCGCAGGGACGCCACCAACTCACAGCACTCAGGGTCCTGCGCTGTGACCTGTTCATCCGGTGACAAAATCCGAAACCTCGAGGGCTCGCATTTACTCGTCATGTCACCTTCTCATACTCCAGGTTGTCCCCACGCTTTCGAGGAGACGGCCCATCAATGTGACCGGCTCTGCCAACAACAAGGTTCGATGTGTAGAGTACGTCGCAATATCTCCTGGCTGCAGCGCATGAGGGAGAAAAAAGAGAGAGAGAGAGAGAGAGAGGGAGAGAGGGGGAGGCAACAAAAAAAAGAGGGAGGGAGAGGGAGAGAAAAAGAGAGGGAGAGAGAGACAGGAGAGCAATGGAGAGCAAGAGAAGGATAGGATAGAAAGAGAGCGAGAGCGGGAAGAGGAGGGGAGGGGAGGACAGAAAGGGAGGAGAGGAGGGGAAGAGAGCGGGAGGGGAGGAGTGGAGAAGATGAGGAGGAGGTGGAGGAGGTAAGGAGTGGAGGAGTGGAGGAGCAGAAGGAGCAGGAGGAGCAGCAGGAGCAGGAGGAAGGCCACCGCTCACCCAATCTCGCAGGCTTGACTCTGGCCGGTCCGCAGACTCACAGGTCGGAGGGCCGAAGGGGTAATGCCCTCAGTAGGTCCACAGCAAGTGAATGGTGGCGACTTTGCCCATTTGTGTGGATGACCCTCCGATGACTTTCCTATCACTGATGCAACCACAAGTCATCAAACCCAGCACAGCACTGACGAAAAATTGAACGCAGGGGGGCGAGCCTCATGGAGGATGCACCAACGCACCCCCACACGACCGATAGATTTTCTGTCGTGCAATTGGTCAAGTCACCAAGGACGAGGATCAACTAGGGTCTTCACGGAAGCTAGCCATTTCGCAATGCACCAGCAACTTCTGCATAGACATCAGGGTCTAGTGCAGCACGTCGTCAGCAAGATTTCGAGCTTGCGATCGCAGTATGGTCACAACTTTCAGATATGGATCTCGCTTCTGCATGCTCTCTTAGGCCATAACCCTCTTTCTTTGCACCAAGCAGGGACGAGAATAGCAGCGGCATTTGCCTGGCAAAGGCGCGGACGCCAGCCCTCCCTGCTCTGCATTGCTGCTCCACCTGTGCTTTTTGGCCAATCACAACCCCACTCTGCTGAGCCTACAAAGGTCCTCCTCCTGTGCAGAAGCCCCATTCTTGTAGCCGCCACCTGCAGAAGACGATCCTTCATACTGGTTCTTGGCACTGAACAAGTCGCATGTTTTTTTCCAGCTCTTTTTAACAAAGACTTGTTACTTGTGGGCGGGTCGGCCAAGCTGCCGCGACGGCATCACTCTCAATGCTGCAAACCAGTGCGCAGCGACAGAGTGCCCGCGTCAACATCAAATGCGGTCCAGCTCCAATAGCGCACAAGGCACATGGCAAGCAAAGCGTTGCAGCACTGTCGCAGCAGTGGGTCCCGGCCTACATCCTTGCCGTTTGCAAAATTCAGTGCACAAACCTCGTTGCTCTGCGATTGAATCACCAGGAACACCGAAGTTGCTGCACACTTCTGAATGACGTGCAGTGTTGCGAATTCGTGCAAACAGCAATATATACGACACATCCATTCACCAAGAGTCGCATAATACCACGTAGTGTGTGTGCTTTGTCTGCAGTAGCCTTGGCCCAGCGGGCGGCCTGCGGATTGTAATACCATATTATAGCATCTTTTCTCAACAAGCCACTCCGAGCCTGAAAGACACTGAGGCGTTTGCCTTCCGACCACGTTGCTTTCCCAGGGTCAGAATGGCATCTGCTGTGTCCATCCTGGGGTTCACATTCCAGTAGTCGGTATGGAGTACAGCCTTGATCTGCGCATATCTGCATAGCGAAGCCTGGAGAAGGAGATGACAGGAGCAGCCGTGGAGGGCGGCCGACACCTCAAGCGTCAAGCGGTATCAAGCTTTCTCACACGATTCGTTCCGAATTCGACATCGCCCCCTGGCTTCGGCAAGCCTGCGCAGCGCATTGTTGTTACAGCAGCAAAAGAATGTCACATCAGAGCACATCTCGCTACCAACTGGTGTGTGCTTGGCTTCCAGCTTGCCCGCTTCATGATGGCCTGACACAAGTTTCACAGCGAAACACAGACCACCTGTGCGTTGAAGAGATTTGAATTTGAAGAACAGTTGAGTACCACCCATCGTGCGAATTTCCCCCGTACCGGAATGAACTTATGCACATGATGACAAGAAACTGCGAATGTGCTCCCTGTACTCGGGCCCACACTGACAGGGACAGTGCGGGGTATTCGGCCGAAGCTCTCCCGTCTCCGATAATTGTCCTCAGCCACCTTGTCGCTTCTGCCATGCGATGGCAAGGTGCGAAACCATCTCTTTAAGCCTTTAAGCTTTTGTGTTTTCTGGCGTCCGGTGTTGGCCTACTCGTTGCAAAGCCATGCAATTTGACACACACACACACACACACACACACACACACACACACACACACACACACACACACACACACACACACGCAGCCGCGCTCGGAGAGAGCGAGAGAGGAGAGAGACTAGTTCGACAAGATCATGACTTATTCAGTCAATTCGTCTGCGGGAGGGGGCCAAAACAACCTCTCAGCCAAACCCAAACCCGAATCGACAACCCCATAATAATTGATGCGCTTTTGGGTATCGCGCGGCCACTGTACCGTACATGGACAACAGAACACCCTCATCTGCCGCCACCGGGGATCCAAAAGAACCGTGATGCACAGTGTCACTGTGGGGCAGGGACTCTTGCAGTACCAGTCGTCGCTGGAATCTAGAAACTTGGTGGGCTCTTCCAACTGAATTTCTTCGAACGAGGGATTAGAGGCTATGGTCACGTTGCTGAGGATGTAGCACTTGCCAGCAGGGTCTTGACTCGCTTGTAGTCTTTGCTGTCCTCTGGACCGGTGCCGCAGGAATGCAAGACGAGATGAAACAATACTTTCCTTCAACTTCGAGGGCCAAGGTCTACTATCCGAACTCAAGACAAATCTGGTAGAGAAGAACAGAAGCGGGTGCGAGCAACGTGCAGCGTAAGCACTACTGCCTACGGCGCATATGTGTGCTCATTGTGCTTAGTGTGTTCAGCGTGCTCAGAATTCCACTCTCTTGCAGGTCCTTGGACCTGGCAAGCTCCTGGGCGAACTTGACCTGGACCACCGTTAGATAGTAGAGAGCGAATTGAGACGAAAAAAGCTGCAACTGTTTTGTAGCGACTGAACAAACAGGAATGCCACCAAGGCACATGATCCCAGTGCATCGCTGCAACAGGGTGGAAAAGATGTCGTCATGTACGCGCAGCACGCGACGGTCAGACGGTGCCTTGTTTAATGTTTGGTGCTGTGTGTGTGTGTGTGTAGGTTTGTTTTGGTTTTGGAAGGCCGATCTATGGGCCTCACTGCCAGACTAGCCAATAGCAGGATCAGGTGCGCTCTGGTGTGACTTTGAGCATAACAAGCTGTCTATGCGGCAACGGCTAGGCTCTATTCTCAATGCTGAACTGCAGTGACGATCTTGCTTGTTTGTGGTCAGGCGATATTACAGCATATCACGTCGAGCCTCAAAGAAGATTGCGGTCGTTCCTGCGGGCTCCTGAACACAAACCCATTTTCATGGCCCCAAAAAAACCTGGCAAAAACCAGTGAAAACACGTCAGGCTTTGGAGGGGAGGCCCAGCCGTTGACTAAGCAAGTTCACGCTAAACCTTGCAGATCCCCAGAACTCTATGCCCACCAAGAAACTTAATTGGTGTCAAGATTGAAAGAGGAACCAGGGAAGCAGCCAAGAAAGACTTTTGTATGCCATGCATCTGGAGCGGCTGTAAGCTCAAAGACATTATCTCGTCTGCAAGATAACATGCAAACGGCAGAGTGGGCAACTTTCGAGACGCCACTCTACAGAGTGATCGAGGGCTGCACATCGGAGAGGCTTTAGGGTTTTGGATCTTGGGGCGCCTCATGAAGCAGCCCGGTGTTGTGCAAACAGCTCTGCTGCACAGACAGAGCATGTGCAAGCCGAGCTTCGGATTGCCCACAAGTCTCGCATGTTAGAGACTCACAGGTTGACTCCGACCTTACTGTGGCTTGTAGTTTACTGTCACAGCGGGAACCCAGCCGAGCTGTGGGAAACAAGGTCGCAGTCGGTAAGCCTCGGGCCGTTGCCAGGTTTCTTTTGAGACAGCTCATCCTCTCCAGTGGCCTGGCACGGGTGTCGAAATGGCTGCACACATGTAAGATCTGAAGGTTAAGGGGAAGCAATGCCTGAGTCAGGGCTGCATCATCAGCCGACCTATTGGATACCGCCCTTTGCATGGCTTGTGCACATCTGCCACGCCACCTCTGGCATGTCTTCATCACCGTTGAAGCTTGCTTGGAGCTTGTCCCCTTGGCACAAACATGTTACATGATTCATGATTCATAATGCAATATATACACGCTCTTGCTTTGGTAGTAAGTATATATTGTGAATACCTGTGCACGTTTCAGCAGAGCTACGTTGCAGTCGTTTCTGGTCACTGCTCGCATGGTCGGTAAACAATTTCACTTGGGCCCAGACTGGAGTGAAACGCACGTGATGGCCTGAGATGCGGTTGAAGCTCTATACTCCTTGAAGGCTCATGGAGGGCCGGGCCGTCTTGTAACGCACCCAGAAAGGGGGAGTATTCCTGAGGACTGACGACATGGTGCCCCGCCCCTGCACCTGTCTCTGACCCAACTCTCGATGACTGATGTGGACCGAGGCTTTAAAGGTAATTTGGGAACGCCACAAAGGGAACACCAGGAATGCAAAAGGACACCAAGTAGGCTTCCTGAATTAAGGTCGTTTTTTTGGACAATTGCCGATGATACCGTGGGCCCTTAATCCGCCTACGTGGATGGACCCGCGCATATTGTAACCCACCTCCATACGCCGCGCGTTTTGTGACCCATTTCCCAACCCCCCCTCCACCCGAGCCAGAAAAAACAACCAATTTGGTGTTTTGAAAGGCGACCACGCGTTTTGGGAGCCGTTTCCCACCCCCCCCCCCCCCCCCCAGCCCCCCCCCCAACCCGCCCCCCCCTCCCAACCAGTTTTCGAAATGGGTGGAACCGCGTGTTTCGGGAGCCGTTTCCTACCCCCCCCCCCCCAGCCGCCCCGCCCCCCCCCCCCCCAACCCCCCCACCCCCGCCCCCCCCCCCCCTCCCTCCCCTCCACCGCCCCCCCCCCCCCTCCCCAATTTGGTGTTTGGCAGGCAAATGGGTGGAACCACCGTTTTGGGAGCCGTTTCTACCCCCCCAGCCGCCCCTCTGCCCCCCCCCCAACCCCCCCCCCACCCGCCCCCCTTCCTTCCCTCCACCCAAGCCAGAAAAAACAACCAATTGGGAACCACACCGCCCCTCCCCCCCAAACCCGCCCCCCCCCGTAAGATGGACACTTAAAGGCTATGCTGCACGTGCGTGCCTTGTAAACAAATACTTTACAAAGGAAACACCCGCAGAATAGACGCAACGCACCCGCAGAATAGACGCAATGCACCCTAGGCCTTAGCATCAGCACACTGTGTCCCGGGCGGGGGCGCGGAGGGCGCGGAGGGCGCGCAGGGCGCGGAGGGCGCGGAGGGCGCGGAGGGTGCGGAGGGCGCAGAGGGCGCAGAGGTCGCGGAGGGCGCGGAGGGCGCGGAGGGGGAGGGCGCGGAGGGCGCAGAGGGCGCGGAGGCGCGGAGGCGCGGAGGGCGCGGAGGGCGCGGAGGGCGCAGAGGGCGCGGAGCGGAGGGGCGCGGAGGGCGCGGAGGGCGCGGAGGGCGCGGAGGGTGCGGAGGCGCGGAACGCGCGCGGAGGGCGCGGAGGACGCGGAGCGCGCGGAGGGCGCGGAGGGCGCGGAGGAGGGCGCGGAAGGCGCGGAGGGTGCGGAGGGCGCGGAGGGCGGGGAGGGCGGGGAGGGTGCGGAGGGCGCGGAGGGCGCGGAGGGCGCGGAGGGCGCGGAGGGGCGCGGATCGGCGCGGAGGAGGGTGCGGAGGCCGCGGAGCATGCGCAGGGTTCGGAGGGGCGTCCACGTGTCCCCACTCCCTTGCCCATCAACCGCTCCCCATCCGTGCCTCCCCCCCCAACCGTCCGTCAACCTCACGCCTCCCCACGCCACACCCCTCTCCCAACAAAATGTTCCGAACCCCCGCCCTTGACCGTGTCGTCTCCGCGGCCCTCCTTTGTTGACCGTCTCCTCTTCGTGGCCTCTTTCGAGAACCCAAGAACAGAATTGGTTTTCGGGAAGAATCCAAGAAAACAAAGAGCACGCGCAGAATAGACGTTAAGCGTCCAAGGCACCGCCCCCCCCCCCTCCCTCCCGAGCCAGAAAAAACAACCAAATGCGGGGAAAGGGTGGGAGCCCAAAATTGGTTGTTTTTTTGGCTCGGGTGGAGGGGAGGGAGGGGGGGGGGGTGGGGGGGGGGGGAGGGGCGGCTGGGGGGGGTTGGGGGGGGGGGGGCGGCTGATAATTTTGGAGAGGGGAGGGGGGCGGAAAAACGGCCTGGGGGGGGGAAGGTTTTGGAGGGGAGGGGTGGGGCGGGTTGGGGGGGGGGGGGGAGGGGCGGCGGGGGGGGGAGGGTAGGAAACGGCTCCCAAAACGCGTGGTTTACTCGTTGTTTTTCTGGTGGGAGGGGCGCCACGCGTTTGGGAGCGGTTTCCCTACCCCCACCCCCAGCCGCCCCTCCCCCCTCAAACCCGCCCCCCCCCCCCCCCTCCCTCCCCTCCACCGAGCCAGAAAAAAATTTGGTGTTTTGGAACGGCCACGCGTGGAACCACGGAGCGGTTTCCCTACCCCCCCCCCCAGCCGCCCCCCCGCCAAGCATCTGGCGTTTTTCATGTCGAGACATACCTGCTACATCCCGCTGACCCAAAGACAAGCGACATCTTCATTCGTTCTGAGACACCCATGTCCTCCTCAAAGGATCGCCGTGGCAATGCACCTGCTGCGAGCCGACATCCTGCGAAAGCCGGGCAAAGCCCGCGGCACTTACCTCGGGGGTCGGCGGCAGCGGCGTCAGCCTTTAAATCCGGCCCCCGCGCCGCCCGTGATCCAGGGCGGAGCCCGCGTCGCACTAAAGCGCTAGCTTTAAGGGGCGAGCGCCCGAGGCGCCGACCCCGCCCAAAATTGCTTCAAATTCGCGCGGGGCCCTTCGGGAGGCCTCCAAAACGGCATCCAAGGGGACGCAACACGCGGTGGCGCGAAAAGCACGAAAACCTCGTAAAAACCATGGGTTTTTACGAAAAACCGAGGCCACAAAACACCCGCAGCACCCCATTAAACCCTCACGGGCGCGCATCATCGGCCCTAGCTTTTCACATGGGGCGCGCGCCAGGCCGAAACCACGTTTTTCAAGGTTTGGGGGGGGTACCGGAAGCCCAAAACCAGGCGAGCATCATGAGCATCAGCAGCCCTGGCCCGCGGGCCCAAGGCAATAAAAAACGCTGAAAAACGCTGAAATCACCGTAAATACCGTGTTTTTATGAGGTTTTTCACGCGTGCCTCCGACCCCCACCCCTGTTGCCCTTGACCCGCCCCCAAAGTGCGCATCATCGAAACCCACGTCCGGGGGGGGGTCTGCTGATGCTGCTGATGCGCGGGGTCCGGGCGCATCATCGAGCCATCGCTTCTCTTGGGCTTCGTGGGGGGGTCCGGGCCCACGGCCCAGAGACCCAGCTGATGCTCATGATGCTCGGTTTGGGGGGGTGTTCCAACAGCAGAAAACCTCGTAAATACCGAGTGTTTTGTGGGTCCACGTAAAAACGCCCCTAAAATCGCTCATTTTACGCGCTCGAACGGCTTCGTGCCTACAAAACACCCGAACAGCAGGACCCCGAATGCCCTTAAGGGCATTCGGGGTCTTGCTTTTGGGGGTTTCGTGGGCACGCAAGCGTTCAAGCACATACAATCGGCGTGTTTAAGGGGGTTTTGGATGGCCTGGGGGAGGCCGCTGATGCTCATGATGCTCCCTTTCCTGGGTCCCAAAAGGCTTCCCAAGCCCAAAAACACGTGTTTACAGCGTTTTCTGAAGGTTTTTCGAAGGCAAAACGCATGCATAGAATGCTTTTAAGGCCCCCAAACCAACCCCACTGATGCTCCTGATGCGGGTGCGCGCGCGCGCGCGCCGGGGGGGGGGAGGGAGGGGGGGCGAAGGCAGGAGAAAGAGAGACAGAGAGAAGGAGAGGACAAAGACACGGGAAAGAGAAGACAGTGCCAAGGTTCAAGGTTTCGTGCTTTGGGGGGCGGGGGCCGGCCCGTGCCGCTAGGCCTGAAATAAGTTTAGGGTACGCCAGAATTGACCATTCACCTCGGCTTCCAACCGAGATGCGTCTAGTACAAGCAGGCCAGGATCTGGTCTCCTTCCCCCTTCCCAACCCATGCCTCCCCCCCCCGCCCCCCCCCCCCCTCCCCCGCCCTGTGGGACCTGCCCCTAATTACCGCCTGGAAAACCGACATCCGATGCCGGCCCGGCTACCGAGGCGGCGCGCGCAAGCGTTTACAATTCATAACTGCCCAGGCCGTACGAATACAACCCCAAACCCTGAACCCCAAACGCCAAACCCTACTGCACAGTAGGAATACAAGGGGACCTTCATCTACCACAGGGTAGTGCTCTTATGGAATCACGTACCCAAATTTGCCAAAACAACCTACTTGGCATGGTTTTTTGGGTCTCTAATTCCAGAATAGTACACACAAATGGAAGAGCTTCCAAGGCCCAGGCTTGTCCAGGATTTTCAGGAGCGGGCTCCTTGAGATCCTCCCGAGGTCATCTTGGGTTGCCCTTACAAACCCCTACACCCCAAACCGTTCTGAGCAGGGGATTCGGGACTGCAGGTGCCCTACGGTTTAGGGTTTAGGGTTTAGGGTTTAGGGTTTAGGGTTTAGGGTTTAGGGTTTAGGGTTTAGGGTTTAGGGTTTAGGGTTTAGGGTTTAGGGTTTAACTCGACCTACTGGGAAGCCGCGAAGTTGATTCAGGTTGTATGAAGCTACGAAGGACAGTGAAGGCCCAGCTTCTGAGGTGCAGGGCTTGGGCGGCTTAGGGCTTGCACGTGTGGAATCCTGTTCCTCACTTTCTGAAATCATACGAGCCCCCACACCAAGTTCAATGAACAAGCTCAAAACAAATTGTGTGCACATTCATGCATACACATACACTGAGAAAATGATTTATGAATAGGCTCCCTTAATAGGGAAAGAAGTGAAGGGGAACATTAAAATTATCCCCAAGCACTGGCCAGTACATAAACTAATATTCATACATACACACACACACACACACACACACACACACACACACGCGCGCGTATACTATAACAATTTTGGTTGTGTGAGCGTTCGGGGATGCGTGGGGACTCAACCCCCCCACAGGCTCCTGGACTCCTGAGTGGCCTCCAAGGTCACAATGTTCTCACGGATAGCAGATCGGAAGTGCAGCAACCTGAGCAGCTTCACAGGCTACCTTGCCCATGGCTCCTCTGCTTGGTTCGGGTTCCCGAGATGTCATGGACCAGACCCGATGATTCGTGCGCGACTCATCATTCGTGTGCTCCTTGGCGCCCGGCTCCTCTGCAGAAGGCTCTGGCGCCTTGTTCTGAAGTTTGACCTGCTGAAAGGGGCCGAAGGAGGGGCCGAAGGAGGGGGATACTAGGGGGATGTTATTTGAGAGTCACTCCTTCTCACCATGTCGCATCCAACCCTCAGCTCAACCTGCACTTCAAAGGAGAGCCTTGAGGTTGCTCAGCGCTCGGAGCCACAACTTCCGCTCAGAGGAGCTCTGGCATGCGAAATGGTGACCTCAAGTCGCCGAGAAGGTGGATCTCAAGACCAAGACCAACAGGAAGCAAGTGATGAGCAATGACATGTAGCATGAAGATGAAACCCTTTGCCAGCATGCGCGAAGACGTACAAGGCAACAGCAAGACGCTTCATCTCTAACTCGGAGGGTGCAAGCCGTCCCTAAAACCTTGAACTGCCCACTTCCCAAACGTACCCTGGCGATCTGCTAGCCAAATTCCGGTGGGATTCGGAGTCGGCATGCTCTTGGAGTGATAAATGCGTATGGGGCCTTGGAGCTTTTTTTCATGGCAGTGTCTACATGCAAGCGTTCAGGACGCAAAACCATGCCGACGAGACCTAGGATTACTCTCCAATATTGGCTGACACCAGAGTCCCCAGAGCCTGGTGACAAAACCCATGAGCAGCATCTTCCTTCACTTTTACCACCCCATGCTTGGGAAGTGAAGGAAGCAACGATGCAGATGGACAGGAGATGATAGGAATCCTGCCCTCCACCACGAAGCAGCTGCAGTTGATACCCACCACATCGCAGCAAACCTGCGAATATCTGCACTCTGCCGCTCTGTCGCTACCCATCACGTGATTTACCACATTGCGCTTGCATCGCTCAAGGCTGAGGCTGAAGTCTCGAAAATCGCGATTTCCATGATTGAGCCTTAGTTCTTGCCACCAGAGTTCAAAGCTTTTCTTCTTTGCTTCCCGACCTGTGTCTGCTGTGACATCCAGTCCGATGAAATTTGTCAAGTCAGGCTGTGAGTGAGCATGGGCTTCAGGCTGCCACAGTTATGGGAGGGGGCGCTGTGCTCCGATTCAAATACAGCTCAAACATGTCTTCCGAGTTCGGCCGTTATACGCCAGGTGCCGGGATGTTTCCTACTACCTACGAGGACCTGAATCCCAACGGACGGTGAGCACGACTCGACATCTTTGGAGGACGACAAGTCCGTCGACCAGCAAGTGGAGATGGATATGAATAGACTGCTTTCGCGGCACTCTGATGAGAGCGGACACTATACGTCGGCATGTCAGCGTCTAGCACCACACTTGGGTGTTGCCCAAGGCCACTACCTTTGCAAAGCTCGTTCTCGTACATCACGAGGCCTGGCGAAGGACCGAGATCTCTCCTCACTCCCTAAAAGCAAGCCCCTGCTGCCGTGCCAGATCTCACATCAACACCTTGCCGGCTGTGCTCGCACGCGGTCCAATGGGAGCTTGGAGCTCGCAGTACACCACCGAAACGGTTTCCGCGTCGTCCCTGCACAAGGAGTAAGACTCACAAGTTGCGGCATGCATGTGCCTCAGCTGCAAATGCCATCAAGCACCCACACACCTGAATTACGTTGTTTGAAACTTGTGCAGCCAGCCGAACTGCAGCAGTCTCCGAGCAAAGTAGGGCACACAAGGAGGTAACGCAAGAGCAAACTCATTCCAACGCTTTGTACAGAATAGTCTGGTACACCCAGAAACAAAAGCCAACAGAGAAGACCTCCGCAGCTAGGAACGCCATGAAAAGCTTTAAAACAACAGCCCACAAGAGTGTAATCCATCATGATGTGCAAAAAACATGTAATGTGCCAGAATCGTCATCCCAGGCCTGTGGATCAGGTAGCCTGCTAGAAGTCGCCGCTGTGTTTGCGGAGACCCCGCGATGGCATCGCAGCTCAACTCCGCCACGGGCCTTGCCAGGAGCACGAAAATTGGAGAAAAAAATCAAAAATCTGCCTCTGCAAGCCTGACGATACTGGAAGTCCTAATCTGGCAAACGTTCGATATGTGGTATGCTATACATGGCTCAGAAGGCGACAGGTCCGAAGTTTTTTGAGAAAGTGCCGAGCTTTGCGAACTGATGGGAAGGAACTGATGGGAAGAGCAACATGCCTCTCATGCTAAGGCCGCAGCAGTAGCGAATCAATTATGAGCAGGATGGTGTGCGACAAGCCCAAGACCCATTCAGAGCGCTCCTACCATGTTCCAATCGAATGCCACTACTGTAATATTCGGGGTAGAAGGCGTTTTCACCGCGGAAGGGTTGAAGATGGTTGAAGCACTGGCATACAGCGCATTGCTGCATAAGAATGCAGAGAAAAACTCATCTGAACTACGGTCATCAAGGTCCTCCTCTGCCTCTCGCTCTTCCGTGCTTCGCACGGCGAAGTAACAGCAGGGATCTGGCTCTTGCAAGGACACCTGCGGAGAAGGACACTGCTTCTGCATCTGTATGCTACGCTCGGAAGCAAACGCATACTTTGTAGACTCTAGACACAGATGCCAACCGGTGCACTCGACCAGAGAGCAATGCCCGCTTCCATGCCCGACGCTGCCTTGAAACTCTTCAGTCTCGAGCACTCGCCAGACCTAGGTGCTCTCAATTCCTGGATTCAGAATCCTCCAAGAGTAGCTGTGTCGGCAAGATAGTAAGCCCGGCACTGAAACCGGCAGTTCCGGATCAGTGAAAATGGCGACAAAGAAACCGATGCCTGTCAAGCCCCGCACAGTAGCAGACCATCAGAGGTGACTTAGCCTAGATCCATGGACCTGCACTTACAAGCCCACCTCCCGCCCGTCAAGGGTTGAGAAAGCAAAGCCGTTGACGTAGAGGCTAAACATCACCGACTCAAAGCGATCCTGCCAGCTCAAGTGAGCCACGCCACCGAGAAATCCGGAGCGCAAGCAGTGGGCGGAATACGTCATGACGCGTCGCAGCAGGCTCATTTTTTCGGCTGGCTTAAGGGAAGGCTCCATTCTCCACTTTGTCCGCTGCAACATGGAGCTGCGCAGCATCTGTCGCAGAAAATTTGGCTGAACTTTGGCAAACATCACTGTCAGCTTCGACACATGCCGCAGCTCGAAGCAGGTGCAGTGGCCTATCAGCTATCTCGAATGCCGGATCAGAAGTGGTGGTGTGGATGTGCTGTATCTTGGTGATGCCTGGCCTGCTGCAGCGTCCAACCCCTCCGAACAAACTACCAACGTGCCACAGCAGACCCGTCAAAAACAAAGTCAATAAGCAAAAGCACAGAACAGGTTGTCACCCCTCTTTCCCAAAACCAGACCACATGTTGCTAGGTCATTTTCCTTCCCACTCTCTTGTGATGTCGACTTTGGACGGAACTTTTCGGCGATTTGATGCCCATGCGCTGCACACGAGGCAACCATCGCTGCTGTCCGTGTACTATTCCGTATTTATTCTACAAGGAGCACTAGATTTTGGAGCCGGTGGTATTCGCGTGCGGGTTCAGCCTGTCGCTTGTCCTCTTGAGTGTCTGTGTGTGTGTGTGCACTTCTGTGATCCCTTGATTGGTTGGAGCAGCTGTTGCATCTGGTTTGCTTGATGTTTGTTGGAGCTGCTCCGTCAGTGCGGCAGGCTTGCTGCTTTGTTTGTTTGGTTTTGCTGTTGTTTGTTTTCGGCTACTGTTGTAGGCGATCGCAGAAGTTCGTGTAGTTGAACTATCAAAGCTCGACCAATGGTAACAATGAGCACATGAATGTATTTAGGAATTGCGACATAAGCAGACCACTTCAATACTGATAGCTGTTTTTGAGGAGTTACAGTTCTTGAATTGTTGAAGCTTAAAACCCACTAAAGAAGTCCAACTGGCTGCTTCGGTGTCAGGAAAGTAACCCTCAAACTTCAGTGCTTGCAGGGTTCGGATCCATCAACGACCAGGGTTTACAAATAGCTTAGGCTCTCGCTGAGCAGTATGAGATGCACGGGATTGCGTGTTCATCAAAGTTCATCCCTCGCAATCTCATATTGCGGAATGTGAAATCAAATGGGCGGGCTGTCCCCTAAAGGCCCTAAAGCGATGCGAATCAAGCATTATGGTAGGCCAGGCTTTCATAGTCATACAGCGATACATCGCAGCTTACGAGCAGCTTTTTGACACAGCTCGTTCTTGCCACCCCTGATACGCGCAGAGGTAGCTGCAGCAGTCATCCAACATTCTGTGTCTGACACAAGCGCAGTGCCTGGTGATGCAAGAGAGACGTCACCGGCTCTTCCTTCCAACGCAACGGGCAAGGCAGGGCTCCATGAATCGGACTCAGGTTGCACTAGAAGTTGGCAAATATCTTGGGGGTTGTAAGCCAAGGCTCCCTTGGGCGTACTTATCTCAGGGAACCCTATTACAAAAAGTACCCAAATTAACAACCACCACCTGCAACATCTTGCAACAGGTGAGAAGTACAGGGCCATTCGTCCCGACGACGGCACGATTCCTGCAACCCACAAGGCGGCCTTTCCATTCGGCTGGCTGGCGTGACGGTAGAGCAGGGATCCGCCAGGGCCTGCCTTGGTCAAATCATGTCAAATCAGGGCTCGCACGAAGCTTTACTCGCTGGACTTTACGAGTTCAATCGCTCTCGATGCATGCGTCCCTACTTGAGTGACTTGAGCAATGATCTACATTCCTCCATCGCGGAATGATCTTCGCAGCAAGAACTTGTCCTAAAAAGGACCCATCGCCTCTGATGTTTGGCCAGCCTCAGCCCTTCATGCGACACCCGGTTCGGCGTTGTTGCCAGACTACGCATGCATGTTCTGTGAGAATACATGGACGAGAAACCGAAAGAGAACGCCTTTTGAAGAAATCCCCCACTGTGAACAAGAGCATCCGCAAGCCAGCAAAAAAAAAGTTTAAGGCGCGCTGTTATTACCAGTGCATGCGCGCATCTACATTGAGCACTTACCTAAAACAGGCCACCTTCGAATTGAACCTCTTGCAGACCTTTTTTTGCGAATGTCTCAGCAGGAAAAGCTGTCACTTCACTTCCCTGAATTCTGTTGTTTTCAAGCTCCGATGATCGCATTCTTGGGTCTTGTGGAACTTGAGTGCTTTCGGAAGGTATGGGTTGGACATAGCAGGCCGGGCGCCGAACGAACTCCCCAAGATCCCAGTCCCTCTCGACGGAAAAGTTCGAAACAGCGCAGTGGCGCGGAAGCATCTGGGCAGTGTAGCAAGAATCTGAGAACCTAGACGTAATGTAGTACTGGCTAGAGAAGTTTTGCCAAAAACTGCTCCTTTCGCGCGCTGTTGCGGTAATCTCGTGAATCTCGACAAACTGCCAGAGGTCCATACAGGTACATGACTTCATTGATCTTGCCTCACATCCAACTTACACGAATAAGTCCATGGTTGCGGGAATCTGTCTGTTGCTCAGGTTGTCACCATCAGCACAACCCGGGCTGAGCCAATGATGTAGTCTGCATGGCCTCGGAATACGCCCATCGAATCCAAGGAACTAGCATCACTGCACCAAACTTCCGCGATAGCTTGATGATCGCTGCACCATGTGCAAATCAGGATGCTGTGACTAGCCTGCCCCCCTCCAAATAGGTATTGGGAGAGGCTAGAGGTCCCCCAACAAACCCACAGCTCTACTGGTCTTGTTCACGGCCCATGGGGCTGGATCCGTTATTCTGGGCAGTGGGAGTCATAAAGCAGGCACCCCACCTCCCCCCCAGCCATACAGATTCTCCCTCGTTTGGCACTGTCTTGCTAAGAATGGGTAACCCCCTTTTTGCGACGGGTGTCCGAGAGCCGAGGGTTCAGGACCAGGGGGCTTTTTTGGGACCATTGGGCAGCTCTCCCAAGTCTCCCATCCCCCCACCCCCACAAATGAAAGCCTCTCGAAGCGCAGAAGCCTAAACCCCCGGCCGAAGCGGGTCGCGTAGCCTTAACATTATTAGAGTGCGTCCTTGCGTGTGGTGGGCCTTTCATCACGAGTGCGCTTCGTAAGAGAACCAAAGCAGTGGCTCAGAAGAAGCTGGGCTCCCTTGACTTTCGGGGTTCTTGTGGAATTTCCTTTGCGGCTCTTGGACTCTTGGATCACCACAGTTTTCACTGGTGGACCTTGAAAACCTGAGAAACACTGAAAGAGAACAAAGCCCCCTAAAGCTTTTTCCATCGTTGCGGCGTTTTGAAGTCCCAGTGCTGCGGCGGTGCCGAACTTTGAGGAAAGTCACAGCCTTCGACTGTCGCTGGAAACATGAACAATTCGCTACATTGCACCAAAGGCTGCATCTCCAAGCCCAGCATTCTCTGTGGACAGGAATCAGAGAAATAGGCCTGGACTGCAGCAGGATTTCCCAAGACTAGCAGCTACAGAAAAGCTACAGTAGGCCTTCTGAGGCCTCCTGTGTCCGTGGCTTGGCAGTGGCTTAGCTGTGGCTCAGCAGTGCACCAGGACGATTGCGGAAGGCATGCTTCATGGTCGCTTCTTGCCGCCAGAGATGACTGAGCACATTCCGTCAGCCGTGCTGTATTGCCCGGAACCCACTCCATGCTTCGTTCCTGCTTCAGCCTTCCACGACAAGCTGCAGTGGCCCTGGTCAGCGAAGCACATCGAACACCATGGCATATTGATGCATACTGTTGCTGTCCAAGCCTTGCAACTTGCAACTCCCAGATCTTCTCTTCAAGCACATTGGCATCTTGCTCACGGCCAGACTTCGCGAACAGTTCCATGCCGCGTCCTGTCAGTAGCCTCGGTTTTGTTCATTTTGCGCGAAAAGTTCAAGGAACGTGCTCTGGCGAGGACCAGGGGCGAGCCTCCAATCCCGCACCAAAGGTTTTGTGCGACAGACAACGACAGACTGCTCACGATGAGCGTCAACAAACAAACGAAAAGCACCCGCGGTAATATTGCAGCATGATCTTCCTTTCTGCACACAAAGGAAGGGGTTCAGAGTTTAGAAGACTTGGTGTCCAAGCGGCCCACCGCCATGGACAACACGTCCGGGTGATCCTTGATCCGGCCGCCAACGAAGCTCAGCGCCGAGCCCGACTGTCCCAATGCCTTGGCTGTGACTCCTGGAATGCCATAATATCGCAGCAGTTCGTAGACATGGCCAGGCTGCTGCCACGATTATCTCCGGGTCTTCCCGCAGGTCCTCCGATGCGAACTGCAGGGCCATGCAGTCCTGGCCCACGGCCCCTCATGTTGGAACAGGATTTCGAGCTGCAATGTGGCTTCCAGACTCAACAGCACGTGGGATCTGATCCTGGCGCACTGCTGCCAACACAATCTCCCGGTCTTGCCTGCTCTCAGACAGGACGAAAGAAATGGACGAAAGAAATCCAAAGTCCCCAGATCCTAAACCCTAAACCCTATACCCAATACTCAACAAAAAAGACCCACGGGCCTCCAAATGGCATCGGCTTCACTCAGCTGCTGCCAATTGTGGCGTACGGCCTGGAGTATGGCTTCCCGAGTTTTCCGAAGTCCTGTAGCTGCCACAGCCAGAGAGAGCTCTGATGGCTGGACAAATGAAACAAGAACAAGCTCTTGTAGTGAGCATCACTGGCATCAACCAAGCATATGTCGGCATCTTCCCTACCTTAAGCCTTAAGCCTGTAATTACCTTTAAGCCTACTTAAACCAGCTCAAGCTTCTAAATTCTAAAGTTAAAACCCTTCCATACGTTGGGGACTCCTGCAGGCTTGCATTCTGCGGCAGGAGGACAGCGTACCAAATAAAGCTCCAAGGCCTCAGCCTGCCAGCCAAACATTTACCCCTACAAGCCTAGAGGATTCACAAGATCCATAAGCAAGAAACCAAACAGGGACTCGTGTCATCACTGCCTTGGTCGTCTGGAAAACTCCCTGCAGCAGATCCGGGTCGTTCAGCAAGTCTGTCCTCTAACATTTGCAGTTCACAACAATGTGAATTTAGCTTTGTGCAGGCATCCCTGCTGACAGAATGCGGCCTATAAACTAGCTGTGCAGGGCAGGTCGCCGGAAAACGAGTCGCTGCTCGCTTGGAAGAATGCCAGTGGCCGACTGGATAACTGCCTGCTGCTTTGACAGCTCAGACCACTGCGGTCTGTGTCAGTTCACAGCTCACTGTCTGCACGGGCCTTCAAGTCTCGGACTCTCCACGCAGGCTCCTGATGTTCTTGTATTTCAGATGATCACTCATGACTCATGACCGCAACGGTGTCCGGCATGTCGGAAAACAAGCATAGCTTACATCAAGTCATTAAGTCAAGTGGCCGCCAGAACTGTGCAGAGCTTCTCGTTTAAGCCAAAGATGTGAAGTTGCAGCCTTGCACAGAGTGTGCGGCAAACATCAACCTTCGCCATCCTTTGCCGCTGTAGTTACGCAACGATGTTCACGAGGTGCTGAACGGCACCCAAGCATGACCGAGTTCTGCAAGGGAGAAATCGCTTCTTGACATGTAGGCAAGGTGCGTAGCGCCACGTGTCCTGGCTGCGCCAAAGGCCTCTTCCAGGGCTTTGCGCCACAATGTCACAGCAGCCTCCTCGGCACTTCTTGAGATACATACCCAAGCGCTGCGGGCAATGCAAGGCGTGACTGAGGATGGCACTGGCCCTTCCAGTACAATAACCCTGGCACCATGACCTGTACCAAGAAGGCTTGCCGGCACATCGGGTGGCAGCAGGGTGCTTGCACTACATGCCACTGACGTGTTGCGATGCACAGCATATCCCCATCAACACAGGCTGGCAGTCCTCCCTGAAAGAAGCATCGAAGAAAAAAGAGTTGCTAAAACGCCCAGTCACGTAGCTTCAGGCCTGGAGACTGGTACCAACTAATCGGGCAAACGCCTCTACATATATATATATATACATGAATATATATATATATATATATATGTATATATAGAAGAGGAGGCTGTATATATGGTCCAGTGCTCCCCGGCCCCCCCCTCCCCCCCCCCACCCATGGTCTGGAACCCCCCCCCCCCCCCTGTGGTGTGGTTGGGGGTTGGTTTTAGGGTTAGGGTTTAGGGTTTAGGGTCAGGATTTAGGGTTTAGGGTTTAGGGTTTTAGGGTTTAGGGTTTGGGTTTAGGGTTTAGGGTTTGGGTTTAGGGTTTAGGGTTTAGGGTTTGGGTTTATAGGGTTTAGGGTTTTAGGTTTAGGGTTTTTGGTTTAGGGTTTAGGGTTTGAAAGGTTTTAGGGTTAACCCCCCCCCCCCTGTGGTGTGGTTGGGGGTTGGTTTTAGGGTTTAGGGTTTAGGGTTTAGGGTTGGTTTAGGGCTTAGGGTTTGACAGGGTTTAGGGTTAGAGACGGTAGACCTGGAGGGGGGAAGGGGGGGGGGGTAAACGCCTCACACACATGGGTTTCCCCGAGGGCGCGCTCCGTCAACCGAACACAACACTCAAAACACGGGTTTTGGCGAGGGTCGGGCCCCCCCCCCCCCCCCCCTACATGGTATGGTCAGGTAGGGGGGGGGGGGGGGGGGGCCGGACACGCCAGACGCCGGACCATATATACATATTCATATACATACACTGTCACACCAGCGGTGCGAGGTCACAATGTTCATGTACGAGCTTCGATAGTGTGGAACTAGGCTCAATTCCTTTCCCGAACCTTGCTTGGCCACCCGAAAACTGCCAACTGACTCGTGATTTGGTGAATGATGAATCTCGCATGGCACATGTGGGATGTCAGGCGGCGCAAGAAGCTCAGTTTCTGCAAGCACGACAACAAGCTGTTCACAGAATAAGGCTCTTCAGGAAGTGGAATCTCTGAGCCCTTGTCTGCAGAAAGAACTAACAGGAACAGGCCTATAAAGAGAATGAATGGATTCCTTCGCCTAAGCCTCGACCCCATTTGCGAGGCCACCACCGATTACGAAGACAGTGGAGGCACCCGTGAAGCTCGCTAAACTGTGGCCACGAACTTAGGAGCCTTACAGTGCTCTCGTGCCTGCTGAGCTGGATTCGAAGCTGCTCGTGGCCAGAATGGGGAAGCTGACCAATGGAGCTTTGCCCTCCTTGAAGTCCTTCGCGGAGGTGTAGTACTGGAAGGTCTCGTGGCGCAGGACGCAGTACCTTCACAAGCCCGAGCGGCTGGAAACGAACGCACCAAAATCGACCGCTCATTGAACTACGTTGAAAATTAACATCCCTCGACTCACGTGCCTGCTTTCGGCTCCGCCACGCCGCAGCACGGTGAGCTCTCCCTCGTAAAGCACCGTGAAGCCCCTGAGCGCAACGACACTGCAACCTCTTTATGGGTCCACCCCAGCACCTCAACTGCTAGCTGCTAGAAAACATGTCCAGGTGTTCACCAAACGTCACTCACACAAAACCCCAGACCGCCCTCTGAATGGTCATACCTCTGTGTTCGACTCGGTCTGCGAGGTCCAGCCAACATGGGGTACTCAGATACACAACTGCCATTTACACAGAACCTTGCCTAAACAAAACATCTGCGCTGTTGTGCATGAGTCGGCATGAATGGCAGTGTTGGTCGCCACTTACCTCCGAACCGCACTTTGGCATATGGCTGTGAACCGCGGCACCACGGGTTCGACACAGCTGCTACGCAGGATCAAGTCGACGAAAGCCCATCTTCTTGCCTCTCGGATGCGCTGACGTTGGCTGACTGCACTGAGCCTGTGACCCAGCCGGCATACCACTCCAACAGCATCAGGTCTGTTTCGGAGTAGTGCATGGAGAGCCCTCAGAGCAGACTCCCATCACTCGCACAACATTGGAAGGCGCTTTTTTGAACACCGCGGTATACCGCGGTCAGCGCGCTTAGAAGCAGGCACATCGATGGCGTCACTCTTAACCTGCGCTCACAAGGGCCATGGGAAGAATTTCATTCATGCAGGTCCAGGACTGACGCCTCCGCGCTATGCACATGCTGATGCCGAGCCCGCAAAGCCTTGGTCCAGGACATAGCGCAGGAGGAGGGTCGTGAATCATGCCATCAAGTTGGACATCAGCCCCCAAGACATTGTTCGGGGGCGAAAGCCCCAACAAGGGCGATGGCAGAATCAAGCTGCAGAACGATCGCCAGGAGCGACTCTATCTCTCGTTTCGTGGCATCTGCCTGCCATGCCGCAACTGTCCAAGGAGCAAGTTCAGCGAGCAATATGAAAATCTGGCAATCAAGGGCTTGGCTTTCGAGTTTAGTGCATTTAAAGGCCCGTTAGCCCCTCATGTCGCCGTCTCCCTTCTGGCCTCATGTTGTGCCTGGCTGTGTAAGGCCTTGGGGCCAGGGGTAACAGCTTGCTTTGTTCAGTACAGAAATGCACAGAACATGCCTTTGCCACTGTATGTACGATAAGTAAGCATGCCAAACCCGACAGGCTTCTATTTGGTCAGCTTCTGCGGGAATCTGCGGGAAAGTGTTTACAAAGGAAGGCCGAGGGGTTAGCTGCAGAAGCTTCGGAACTATCTTGTCCTACGCTCGGCTCTCTGTCGCTCATCCTTGCATGTGCTGTGTAAGCCAGCCACCACACAATGGTCCGCAGTCATGAAGCCTGAGCATCCAACGGCATTTCTGGTTACGTTGTCTAGTTCGCTGTATACAGACTTTATCGTGGTGATGCACTCTGTAGCACTGTACGAGTAGCGAGTTCCACTTGATTGATGCCAGTCTTGCACTGGCTTTGAGCATCCGGCTCGTCTGCTCTTTGGCCAGAGCCGTGCGCAACTCCTCTGAAAGCGAGGCTCATCGACTCAGTCGTCTTGAGTGAGAAGGAAATGTTGAGCGACATGTATCAGTTCTGTAACATGCTCTGAACACGAAACACGACATGAAAAGCAGGGTGTTGTCACACCGTCCTCCACGTGCTCTCGGAGGAGGCCCTGTCAGGAAGAAACTGAGATGTACTGTACGGGAAGTGCACAGGTTTGGTCGACGAGAAGAGCAAGGGTTGCCTTGACTTGGCAGCTAACTGTAACTTATGTGCCAATGGTGACATGTGATGTTGCTCGTAGCAGTCGCTGTGCCAGGTGTAGAAAAAGGAAGACTCCACATCTCCTCACAGTCTCTAGGATTGTAGGATGGCAGGCTGGCGGCCGCACCCCCTCATGGACGAACTGCTTGTCGTGCAGCTCCATCTGCCCCTCTCAAGATTTGCTTGAATCCATGCTGAAGCAGTACTATTCCAGAGCTCTGATATCAAGATATCAAGAAAAGGCAAAACTCAAGCGTTTTTTTCGAGGGTAGGGCAAGAGTGGTCATTGGGTGGAGGGGATCAAAGAAACACGGCCTGCTTCTCTCGCAGCTGTCGCTCGAAAAGTTGCACGCGATGGTGAAGGGCTGCATCCTCCTGAGACAGGAGCATCAGTTGCAGGGCTGCAGGTAGATGCTGGAAGACGACCCGGCCATGAAAAGAAGGCATGTGTGGCCCAAACTACTCCTTGGCATTTCCGAGATGTCCAAATTGTGGGAGCTGAGGGCTCAGCCTCTTCGGTATTCTTTGCATCAGCCGTTGCCTGAGAACAGGCAAGATCCGAAGATCCAGAGAAATCACTAAGTCTCAGGACCCCAGGCGGAGGCCTGGTCTGCCCGGCGCTTCAGCTCAGCATGCTCCTTTCCGGGTGCAAAGAATTCGTTGCTAGCTGCTCCCAGTAGCAGCCCCTCAAGCGCGCCTGGCGCTTCAACTCCAATTTGTGCGTGCTGTCTTTGAGCCGCTTCTCCTCCTGATGACAAGCTCCCAGCAAGTCTGCGGCTTTCAAAATCGCAGCAGCCACCATAAGGCTGGGATGCACTCGTAATTCAGTACAGGGTGGAGCGGATCATTTGGGAATCCCAGGTGGATGAAGCCAGTCAAGCTGGTCGGTACATCGGGAACAAGTCCCTCAAAGGACCCAAAAGCACACGCGCAAGCAGAGAGGTAGATTTGGAAACTGTGAAACTTTCGTGGGTGAACCCCCCGTTAGATGGAAAGTGCTGTCTCAAGAGACACCCCTGCCCTCGATTTGCATGGTTGCTCACGCTGATGCACGCATGCGATTCGGCACGGCCCAGTCCCGTTGGCGTTGAGGGTCCAGGTTCTGTGTGCCGAAGAAGGGGCTTCCGCTAGCCTGTCTTGTCACGGCAGGCACAGATCATTGATATGCTGCCTGCGTGCCATGTATCTGGGAGATTCGAAGGTGACTTCTGCAAAACAGTTCCAGCAAGCGATTTGCTTCGGTAGCTTGGCTAAACAGGCCCGCTCCACCATGCTTTCCATAAGACCTTCTTGGGTGGTTGGCACCTGGCACGAGAGACGTTGTTTACCCAGGCACTCCCGGCCCTCGAGGGGAGCAGGGCATGACGAACATTGACCCTGCATAAAACAGCAGCCATGGGGCATGTGCCTTGAACAGCCTTGAACAGCCTTGAACAGCCTTGAACAGCCTTGAACAGCCTGGAGAAAGACCATGTGTTTCACTGCGCCAGACCTTCTGCAGCCGGTTGTGCAGCAAATCCGCGATGCCAGTGCTTAGCTCACGGGCCTGCAACAAGGCCGGCAGGTCACAGGATCATCCCCGCACATACCCCCCGATGGCGTCTCTAGACTTAGGCCTGCCTCAAGAGTGGAGTTCTCCTTGGCCGCGTGCAGTCCACACATCTCAAGGTCCAGCTGCAGCCTCCAGAAGTGCACGGTCGATGATTCTATGCAGCCATTCCTGAAGAATAACAAGAAGACTGCCCAAGGACTTGCTGCTGAGAGTTGTATGGAATGCCAAACATCATCGATCCTTGCAGCATGGAACCCCAGCCCCAGCATGAGATGCAGCTCATACCACACCATTGAGATCGTGCTCATGAAGAAAAAGGTTAGGGTCCTCAAGTGACTCGACGTGCAAGGTTCAGGGCCACATGGGAGAAGTGTTCTCTGCCCAGGACGTATGAGGTTCGTTCTCACAGCATGGCTGGCTCGTGCAGGCTTCCGAAAGCTGCTCGACTCCCTAAGCAAAAAGCACCTATTTGTCAATAGCAAGGGTTACTTGTAGTGGATGTTTCGTGAAGTATCTCATCATAGAATCCTGAAGCTATCTGGAGCTGGTGAGGCTGAGGAGTTTTCCTCCCACGGTCTCATGAAAGGATGAGCTGCGCCCGGCTCAGGGTGGTCCATCGCGGGTGCTAACGGAATGCGTATCGCCAGACTGGATTTTCCGGTTCGCCAGCGCATGTGGAACTGTGCCTTGGTCCTGGGCCCTCTGAATCTCTCCAAGGCAAGGGGACGCATGGATCCATGATAGAGGAATGGAGCCATGATACAGCCATGGCATACCCTGGACTACATGGCATACGTAGTTCCAGGGCCAGGCTGGAATTCTGCCACTCTGCCTGAGCAACGGCGGCCTAGGAGGGAGAGTGACAAAGTGTGGGGGTGGGGAAGTGGGTGAATGAGGGAGTTGGTGCGGGGCGAGTGTCTCGACGAGCAAGGAGAGCAGAAGTGAGCGCGTGGATAATTGATGGAGAAGGGATTGGTGGAACGCGTGAAGAACACGCGAAAAATGAACGAACGAATGTGTGCTCTCTGTCTGTGTCGGTGTCTGTGTGCGTGTGGTGTGTGTCAGCGCGCCTGTCGTTCTTGTCTGAGTGAACCTCTCTTAGAGCACATGTAAGTGCACCGGCTGCAACTGCTTAGGCTCTACGAACGATCAACGAAAACGATGGACGAGTGCTACTGCTCCTCTTCCTGCTGCTGCTTCTGTTACAAAGCATACCTTGACTTATGCTCCCGAACAATGCTTTTATGCACAAGCAAAACACATCGACATGCGGCCGATGAGCTCCGCACTGCTGCTTTTCCAAACTGCCGGCAGAGTGTCGAAGCTTCTTGATCTCCTTTCATCCGGCACTGGTTGGGCTCTTGACGAGTTGTGACCTCTCATTTCACTGCTCCGTGGATAGATGCTAGCTGCTTCTGTCGACAGCCGTCCTGATCGCGCTCCCAAAGCAAGCGCTCCATTCGCCTGAGTGCTGCTCTCCCCGTACCCGAGCCACAACCCTCACAAACAAACCGTCAAGCATGTAGAAGCGCAAGCGAGATGAAGGACCCTATCAAGCACAGGAAAGGGCACAAACACAGGCGCCGTCACCGCAGCGTGGGCCCAAACCTACCATTTTGCAAACTGAAGAGCCCTGAACACACGGAGTTCGCGGACATCTTGCAGCCGGACGCGAGGCAAAGGTTCGATGCCAATGGACGAGGGGGGCTCTTCTACAGGGCAGAGATACATTCGGGGCAAGAGCTCAGAAGTCTGTTCTTCCCTTGACCAAGCTCTTCCCCAAGATTTTGCGAATTGAATCCACAGCTGCCAATTCTGTCCCAGTAGCTGGAGCTCCTCTTCGAGCTTCGCTCGCTCAAGGCCACCCCGCTCCACGCCTGCAGCTGTGTGTGCCCCTGGGGGTGATAAGGTTTGGGATCAGAAGCCAGTGGAGCATCAATTCGGGGTGTGTTGGGCAAAACGACGGCAGACATGAGAGTTCCAAGTGACCCAAGTGACACTCCGTGACACTAACTCACTAAGTGACGCCTGCTGAGAGAAGGAGGTCCTTTCGCTCAGCATGGGCTGTCAGGCGATCTGTGGCAGATGCGGTGACCTCTGGCATGTGACAAGTCAGATCAGCATCTCACGAAGGACGCTCCAGTAGCAATCATGATGTGGCCTTGCTCGGTGCGAGATCCAGAAGGAACAACTCATCCATCCGCTGAACTAGTTGACATCATGCGAACCACGCCTCTTTGGCCACATGCAACTCGGTCTCAACATCCCGCAGCTTGTGCTTCAAACGGTTGCCTCGGCACTGCCCGGATCCGGACGAAACTCGATCTGGCATGACTGGTTCCATGCGCTGTCACTTACAATGACCGCCGAGCACCCGAGCACTCCCGCTGCGTATCTGCGAGCTGCGCCTGGAAGCAAAGGGCGATAAGCAAAAAAGCTAATTAGGGCCAATTAAGCGTGAGTCTCTTGATGACAGTCTTGACGAGCACTCCGCGATACTGAAAGCTACCCTGGACATGGCAAGAGGATTCAAGAGGGTGAGTCGATACGCTTGCATTCTTGCACTCATCTGCCCAGGGCCTTCATGGCGTGCATCTCAGCTTCTTGCGCGGCAAGCACAGCCTGCTGCGAAAGTGGTTTGCGCATCTTTCCAGCTATTTCACCCGGAGTCCGGAGTGCAGTGGCATTCCTAAACTAGACACGAGAAACGCGGGCTGACAAGTGTGTTTGCATTTTCCCCAATGTCGCAACGCAACGTGCTGCGCCTAATTGCGTTTGAATGTTCTGCAATGACCTACGCGCAGAGTGCAAGTGCTGTCCCCCGCACTCGGCTCACAGAAGCCATATTCGCTTGCCAGCAAAAAAGCTTCGTGCTGACCGACTGTTATCAAACCCGGATCGTTAAGCCCGGAGGATCCCGGAGGCATCGCCTTGAGCTCGTGCTTGTCAGCAGCTTCCACGGGCGCGCTGGAGCGGGGGACCCGGCCAGAAGAGGGCACCTGTTGAGGGGAAAAAAGGGGGCTGCACCCCCCTCATTACTTCGGTAAGCTGCAAAATTACCTCAGCAAGACATGGTCCATTCTCGAAACCGCCCACCATCCTGGGCTATCCCTGAAGATAGGAGGCCATGTATAGTGACAACATGTGGCATCGGTACACTGGATGTGCTGTTGGGACTCCAAAGACATCAAGACATCTTTGCTCCGGCCACTGAGGCTAGGGCAGTGAAAGCCATGGCTAAAGCTCCCCAGAACAGATGTATGGTTTAACCCCTCTAGACCTTAAAGGCTCCAACTCAAGCCTAACAACAGAACAACACGTGTGACAACAGACATGTCTAGGGTGTGCATTGTTGAGTTGCTTGCGGTCTGTTTGCGGTCTGCTTCCAGCTTCTCAGCAATGTGACCATTGCAGCTGCCCAGCTACGAAAAGCTTTGCATGACAATGCTGAGAGATCATGAGGAAGGACACACTGAAGCAAGCAGGGTCCTGTGCTGACAGGTGCCACAGCGTACCCTCTCGAATCGGAACGCCAAGCAGCGGCTGGTCTGGAGAGGAGGAGTACCTGGTCTCCCAGTACTTGGCAAGAGTCCGACCCCCAGCCTGAGCATCTGAACAGGTTCAGAGCGAATCAATGCAAGTCATGCGGATGCACGCTGCACTCAGACGAGTGTGGTTCTGCAGCACGCGATCTAGACAGAAAGACAACAAGACCCGAGTACCCCGTCCCTAACAGCCCGGCGCACGTCTGCATGCGGGGAATGAGGTGCTTGGGTCTGGGAACCCGGATCTCCAGTGCATCCTCGTGCTCCCCGAGCTGCACAAGCGGCCTTGACACCAGGCCAGGCCGTGCGACACTGAAGAGCACGCTTACGCATGTACACGAAGTGGTCGCTGGGCACCAGCGCTTGTGAAACTGCTGTGGATGAACATCGTCCGCATCGCAGACCTGGCTTGTGTCTGTTCGTTTCAAGTCTGGCTTAAACATTCGAAGAATCACATTTGTTTGAAGACTGCAAGCACTCATGATGGTGGCCAAAAGTGCCCATGCGCTCGCCAAGCGATCAGCTCTCGCTTTCTCGAGAGTCTGTGTTTCGATGGAGCATGCCAGGCAAGCAGGTACGGCAGAGGCTCTACAGTAAGGACAGTAAGGACCAAGCGCATCCTCTGAGCAAGCCTGAGCTAAGTTTGCGAGCGCTGGAGAAGTGGAAACTGTGTGCGAAGTGCGACGTGGCAAAGGCACCGAGGTCCATGCCAAGCATGGCACCATCCCCCATGCACGAGAATGAAATACTTTGAGCTTGCTCTTATGTGGTGCGGGTTGTTGGTCTGGGAGTGCTGGGCTGGCTGGCTATGATGGCTGCTAATGTTCGGCGCGTCACCTGCAGAGTTCTGGGTTGAATCTGATGACAATGTCCATGCCCTCCAAAGTGACATCGCACCAAGGGCACGAAAACCGTTTATTCTGCTGGCCGCTAAGTGCTAGCAGCTAACAAACAGTGGCTGTTGAACCTTGCCATCAGTATGTCATGCCTTCGTGTTGATTTGCTTGAGAGGCTCCAGTCAAACAGGTTGCACTCTTGGCTACCTGGCAGCTGAGACTTCAGCGGCGCATCGGCATCAAATGATGGATCTAAAGTGGTTCCACCATCTTTGCTACTGCTTGGCGTGGACGGACTCTGATAAACGATGACAACGCCTAGCTTCCCGAAGCAACTGACAAGCAACTGACAAGCCGAGGCATCTCAAAGGCCTCCCTGCGATCTAAGTCCTTCAGGCTGAACTGTTCTGTACTTAAATAGGACTTAGCTGATGTTCGACTGCTTCGATATTCTTGTTAGTTATAAAGGCAATTAAAGGCTCAGGACTCCCTGCTTCCGGTGTTCAGGGCAACGCGCTTTTGAAGAGCTGGCCCACTGCTGGCGCTTATGGTCCTGCGGCAGCCTGCTACGAATTCGACCGAGCTACATCACACAAGGACACGCAGCTATGTGGTGATTTCTCAACATGCCATACATCCACACTGCGTCACGGAATGCGCGTAGTTGGGGGGGGTGGGGGGGGGCTTCATGTTCAAGGCAACAACAGGCTTCCTATACACGAGATGGACAAGTATTGTATTCGCATCTGAAATTGGCATTTACCCGGCAGGCATGCTAGTCCGCCTCTTCGCAACGGTATAAGGCGGAGGTTTCTCCTGTAAGGCATGCAGTACGGGGTTTGGTGCTATTTACTTGATCTCCTGCTACGTTGCACACAGTTGCTGTTCCCATAACTGAAGGTGGGCTGAGCTTTCGTGCAAGATCTCACGGACTTGTGGTAGCAGCCTGTTCGAAGTACAGCAGGGTTCACTTGAGGGGCCTCGTGTTGTGTTGAAATCGTCAGTGAGAACTCATGTGGAGATCCGCGATGCCTTCGGCCTGCAGATCACCAGCTCCTGCACCCTCAACTTGGCAGAGAAACGAATTCGGCATGTGAATTGCCATATCTTGCGCCACTCAATGGAGTAGAGACAACACAGCACCCTTTCTTGAATGATCACATTCAGGTCATACCAAAGTCCCGTACAGCTTTAACAACGTGCTATTGGTACAGGATCCGAGCGGCAAGCTAGGCCTACGCGGCGCTTCAGCGCCGACCAGTGGGATCAAACTTCATCATCTCCTGCAGCGAATAAGCAGACGAGTGTACATTTTTTTTAAACTTTAAGCAACGCTAAGCAACTATCGGAGAACTTGAGCTGTTGGTCACACCCGCATCACCAAGAACCGGCTACTCTAAAGCTTGCAGACTTGCTCCGGATCTGGCCGTTTACAAACCTGATTGCGCCCGGCATCACTCCTGTCTTGGCGCCAACACCGGGTGCGGAAGCTTTGGCCTGTGCTAGCGGTATTGGCAGGTATTCCTTCTCGCCATAGCTCCTTTCCGGCTCTTGAACTTGTAAAGCTTCGGGCTAAAAAGCTCTAAGCTCAACAAGCCAGGCAAACCCACATTTTGAGGCAGGTAGATGCAACAACAAGTGTCGCCCATAGGCTTCCTGTCTGGGTTACCGTAGGGAAGGGTTCAGGCTGACCCCCCAAAGCCCAAGCGGTCACCAAAAAAGCTTTCTCGCTATGATCCCGAGCTTTGGTTGTTGCTGATGTTGGGGTTCTTTGGACATTGGGTGACTTCAAGCTGCCACATTTGGCCCCACACGTAGTTGGTGACTGTGACTCAGTGCTCGACGGTAAACGTGCCGAGTGTGGTCGTTCTGCCTCGGAGGTTGTTGTTCTACTATTTGCCTAAGAACCCCCCAAAAAAATATGAAAAATGGCAATCTCATCAATCTCTATATTGCCCTTACAAGGAATATTATCTTTGTTTTGTTTTCTTTTTGGGGGGGTTCTTAAGCAAATACAAGGAATATTATCTTTGTCTTTTTTTGGGGGGGTTCTAAGCAAATAGTAGCTTTCCGTCCTTCGTTCTGAGGTCTTGTGTGATCAATCCAAGGCACCGCCAAGACCAGCTTTCTCGCCTCAAGCCAGCGACATGCAGCAGAAAAGTGTTCTCGTCTCTCTCACAAGGCTGGGCACAGCTACGAGCAGGGATGCCTAGGGAGATGTGGAGATCAGGAAGAAGGAGGCTGCAGGGTCACATGTCCCGGGTATCTTGTCGCATGTATCGCCCTTGGCAATCCTTGGCAACCCGACAGCATCACGCCCGGCAGAACCAAAGGTTGCAGAAGGTGGCCGCCGGTGACGCCGCCCGGATTCCGACCTGCCCGTGTGCATCCCCGCTTCAGAGTTCAAAAACATCGGAGTGTCCGGCTTTATCAGGCTTTTGTCTTCTTGAAGGCGCGTGCGGATGTTGCTCCTGCTGCTAGTATCTGCTATTCCAAGCCAGTGAGCGGGAGGTACGTTTTGCGCCGGGCTGCTGCAGCCACTAAGTTGAAAACTACTGAAACGGTGCCCCCTGACGATCTCCAAGAAGAGAAACTTGGCGCTGAACTTACAAACTTCCTTGCTCGAGTTTAGGGCTTGAAAGATTCATTCTCGCCGCGTTCCTCATGTGGACATCTCAGAGCGTACAGCCTAATCATAAATCCACATCATCCTACATAAAATCCACATCATCCTACATCTACCTACCAAAAGATGCTGCCAAATCAATTCGGCAATGTGCTCTTGCGGTACGAGAGGAATGTAGAACGAATAGTTGAATGCGTTGGTGAAAACCCGTTTATATTTGCTTACCTAAACTTGCACACTGGGAGCCATGTGCTCACTATCTGGCAGCTTCTTTCAGACATTTCCGTCCAGGACTGCCCGACGGATCATGCGAACGTTCAGAAGCAGGCCGAGAAGGAGGTAGATTGCGCACACCTTGATATTGCATGCCGTCTATGCCAATGATTGTACATGCCCCCCGCAGAGTGTTCAAGCTTTCTGGGTCGACCTACGAGTAGCAAGTTACCGAACAACTTCGCAGTGGTGTGTTCTCAGGCTCCAGCTGCAAGCATTCCCGACACTCCAAGCTTCTGCGCTGCCTCGCAGGTGGCGTGCTCGAGGTACTCCTCGCCTGTGGCCTTGTCGCACATTGTGGGGAGACCCGTGTCGCAAGACGAGTTGCGCCCGTGCTTTGCGATCAAAAGTCTTGGGTCAGGGCAAAGCACCTCCGTCTCCACATTGGCATGTGTGGATTGCAGTCCTCAAAAACGACTCCCTCGTAGAGGCTCGTCTCAAAGATGCTCATAGCCCACATGATCGGCGACATGTAGTAGAAAGGCCTCGATCGGTCTGAGAGTTATTTCAGAGTCTGATTGTTGATTGTTTGAAAGTGCACTTGCCCTCGAGGGTGCGCGCCAACAGCTGAGTCTATGGCAGCCAGATTTTTGGAATTTGGTCAAAAGGAATGACGTATCCTTGAAGAGCAGTGGGGAAGCAAGCATTCAGCATGTAAATCGTGAAAAGCTAAGTACACCTGCAAGCATGTGTGAATTCGAACTTGCACCCGAAGAGGACAGACCAGAAGGACGAGGTAGCTGGCAGTCGGTCTAGGTCCGTGTATGCCACTAAGGCCTTCATCATAATGAAGCTCACCCCTCTTCTTTGCACCGGGTCATATTGTCGAATTCCTGACCTGACCAAAGTAAGAAGGTGAGACAAGAGCCCAGCTGCGCGAAAACCAAGTACCCTCGCCGCTTCCCTTGATAGGCCCCGGGAGACAACATCCCATCTCAGCAGGGCTCCATTTTGTAGCCCCATCTTCAGCCCTAAACAAGGACCCTGGTGTCGTACACCCAGCCTCGGACTAGCTTGGGACGTGCCCCTAGAACTGATCAGCCAAAGCTTGCACCACAGTGAAACCCCTGAACCCTAAGCCCTAAACCACCCTGTCCTGAAAATAAAGTCGCCGGGATGATGAGCGGCATCAGGACCTAGTTCGGCTTGGGGCTTAGGACCCTCCCAATCCGGGCTTCGATTGGGCTTGATGTTTAACGAAACCATGCAAAGAATCATACTCTAGAGTCGGCCAGACGACTCACTAGTGGAGCCTAGGGCCTACGGGGTTGGGGAAGGTGGTCGCAGATGGTCTGTGTTTGTGAGAAATGCCGCCTGGATGGAAATACGGTAGGGCTGGGCGTAGAGTCGTATTCGTGTGGCTGAGTGGGAGTCAGCACAACACTGATGGTGACTAGATCTTGTCACACGCACAGACACACACACACACACTCTCTCTCTCTCTCTCTCAGACAGTTGCTTGATGAAACTGGTGCAGGTATGCAATGCTGGCCATGCTTAGAAACTTTAAGACCAGAACTGCCCTGTTGCCATCTGCGTCGCGCGTCTGGGCCCCAACCTAGCGGTGAATAGAGTTGCACGTATAGGCCATCAATGAACAACGGCTCCAACAAACAGTACTGCTGCAATCGAGAATTGGGCATGGTCCATGCTCGGTGCTCATATCGACTGTTCTGAGCTTGTTGCCGCAGAGCCAGCTACACAGGCAAACAGAAGCACCTGGGCTCAGCTCTAAGGAACACTGCCAGCATTATCCAGCTGCGAAGGCCATCCTCTGCAAGTCAGGTCGACATGGTATGGCTGAGAGCCCAACCAAGAAGGTCGTCAGCACGAACACCTCATGTTCAAAAATGCCTCATGCTACCTGCTTTGGGCTGTTGGTAAGAGTCATCTTGCAACAGAGTCACGCCAAAGCGGTATGCATCCAGTGGTAGCCCGATGAGCCTCAAGCGCAGAGGTCTTGACCAGCTGACGATCAGCGTGGGGCTTCCAGATCTTCAACAGCCCTGCTTGCTGGCTCTTCTCCCTCTTTTCTCATGCGAGTAAAGGAACTCTCACTCAGGACGGGTCAAGTATAGCGGTGTCGCCCATGCCTTCGTTGTACAGATCTGCATGGAGTGGAGATGTACTTTGGCGAGCAACATTCGTTGCAGGTCGACTCTCCACGGAAATGCAACCATCATCAGCTAATGCGAGTCATGATGGCATAGGGTAAACCCGCGCATACACAAGTCAGTCTCTGTCTGCCGTCGCGTGACGAGCGTCCACGGTACCTGCATGGCGAGGAAGCCCATGTAGTAGGCCCTTGGTCTGCACAGCACATATTCTAGGCGCAGCACATACCCTAGGCCCTAAACCTAAACATTAAGATGGTCAGTCGAGTTTCAAGACGCCAGGTTGCCGTACAGGCCGAAAAATTGAACTGGTGTTCGCTTCTTGTACTCTTTTGGTTCAAGTTCAGTCTGGCAGCGTTTTGGTTCGCATGAGCAGCTGCCTGCAACAATCTTTGTAGAATCTCCGGGTGTCCTTTCCAAGTGTGATACTCCGAGTGCCTTTGGCTGCCTTAATCCGCCTTAGCTTTACCTCCTTACTTTTCACTGTGGTGCTACTGAGATTGGGAATCCTTGCACCATCAGCCTCAGGGCGAATGCTTTCTGAGCACGCGGCGTGTAGTACGGAAGGACCTTGCGCGTCAACGGGTCTTTACAATAAAACAGTACAGTAGCCGTACTTGCCCCCGAGAGGTCCTGCTTGGTGTCTCGTGGTTCGTGTTGCTTCACGTATGCTACGTATGCCCAAGCATGCCAGAAATGCAAGGATTCACGGAATAGCAATGATGGCATGTCTCAAGGAAAAAACCCTGCAGATGCCTGGTAGACTCCATCGTAATACTCACCTGGGCACATAGCTGACAGACTGAACAGCGCTGCACGATGCTGTGAATCGTCAGCATCCCGATCGAACACGCAGCCATGCGCATGCCAAGTCACGCTTGAGAAGCCCTTTGGTCTGCTGAAAGGTTGCCGCGCCTCCCAGAACCAGGGCATTTAGGACTAAAAGGGATGGCCACTTCACTTCACAAACTTACCAGGAAACTGTGATGTCGGGGCCTGCGTAGAAGGACTCAATCAAAGGGTTCTGCCTCAGGTGCTTCGGTCAACGTGTGCAAAGAAGTCTGGCGTGCGCGAGGTGTCGCGTCAGGCGCAGCCCTGAAATGACTCGAGAGTGTCCTTAACCTCGACCAGTGGGCAAATAGAAGTTAGTTGCCTCAACTCAGGCGCTACCATGCTGGGCGAGCCAAGGGCAAGAGTGGTGAGTCGCCTTCAGTGCGCCAAGCCTTATCATTGTACTTCCAGCAAGAAGCCCTGCAGCACTTTTTACCGCACGTTTCTGCTGCCTTCGCCAAAACTGACCGAGTTTGTAGTTCCCTGGCGCGCAGCTGACCTTGGCGAAGTCGAACTTGGAGAAGTTGTTTAACGCAACGTCACCAAACCGAGCTGCTCAAGGTACACTGACCGCTGCCTACAAAAGATCAATAGACAGCCGATAACCACGCCAGACCTGCTGATTCTTACTTAACAAAACTGCGCTGAACCTCTGCCAAAAAGCCATAGCAGACCATAAAGCAGCGACACTAAACTCATGCTCATGCCACAAAAGCACGCAGTTCTTCGACACTGAACACTGAACTGATCAAATGGTGAAGTGGCGCAGATTTTCAGGGAGGTGGTGCTGCGGGAACGTCTAACCCCATGTGCTACAATAATGTGTCCTACAGGCATGATCAGCTGTCGGAACCAGGGCAAATGTGCGGATTTACAAGGGAAATTCAGTGGATGCCAGCCGGCCGCACGCCTGTGAGAATGACCGACTTCACGTGAAAGCCAAAGGGCGGGTGGCTGGATGTTCACTTCCTCTGATCAGCTCTGAACCTTGTCTCTTGAATCAACAGTGCTGAGAATGTCTCCGCATGCACCGCATTGCAGCAGAGTCAGGATCAGCATCATCATACCTGAGAAACCTCGAGCACCCTGCAGCACCTTAGCCTGCGACTAGTCAGTCATAACAGTCATCTCACGTCATGCGTCAGGCCAGGGCGCATCGCAATGCCCTTTGAAGCCACCGGAGCAAGCCAGCCGTGTTGCCTGTCAAGTGTGCAGAAACCTTCGTTCCCAAAGAGTTCCAAGGCCCGAAGCTCCATGAAGCTCAGCACGAAGCTCCTCGATGCTCTTCCAGAGCCGCAGCTGCTTCGAAGGCCAACAGTCGGCTGCTCTGATCATGCAAGCCCTCTTCGTCCTCAGTGGCCACTTCCACTTAGCCACAAGGAACAACCTGGGGCGCGAGAATCACATGTGCACTGACATCTAAGGTGTCGACATAAAGGACCAGCAGACGCTTCACCTGTCTCAGCAGAGTGCGGGTTGAAACCTGGCGGAGCGGACTCGTCAATTCCGAGATCCGGCATGATCCAGCAGGTGTCCAACACGCTGAATGCGTCGCAACTCCCTGTCTGGAACAACCATTAAGCCAACCTTTGGCATGTCGCGAAATGTCCGTGTCTTGTCCGCTGCGCAGAACAGTAGACTCTATCTAAACTCTAGTGCACCCATGCTTTGATCTCCCACGAAGTCGCCATGTCTCTTCCATCCCCTCTGGGCCTCCTCTTTGCCCGGCTCCACGTGGTCCAGAACATCAGAAAGGCAGGCCATCTCACTACGCCTCTGGGACTTGAGGGGCGCGATATGGCGGTTGATCTCGATTCGAGATAATGCTCCCGTTTTTGGGGTGCATGAAATGGCACTAAGTGCCAAAGAGGAGCCCTCAGTCATTGCTCTAAACATGGTCCCAACTGTCCCAACTCACGGAGCTAGAACGTACAAGCTGAGGAACCGGGAGTCACTTCGCTCATCAATGCCACTGGCACAAACCTGGCATGCTGGTTGCGACTCATGCCGCGACACAGGCGCAATGCGAGATCTCATCAGCTTGCAGCAGACATAGCAGTATAGCCTGGCAAGCGCAGTCGAAGCCGAACATCTTCTTCAGCAAGTACTGACGATAGCCTGAAAAACGTGGAGGCATGCGAAGGGTGGAGACAAGTACTCACACGGCCAAGGCAGACGCCACCGTCGCTTCCAGTTCTCGACATTCAACGATGGGAGGCTAACTAACTATCCGAAACGATGGACAGGCAATGGACAGTCGGACAGAGGCCAGTTGCAGCCCCAGTCTCTCAAGGTTCCGCGAATGTCAATGTAGCGAACCTAAATGCAGCACAAGGTTATCGCTCACCAGCGACGAACGGTCAGCTGCCTGAAGCATTCCTAAGGTCAAAAGCGTCAATATTGTCTGAATCAGCTTTTCTATCCAAGACGCGCACAATTCTTGTCCTGCCAGAATGTCTGTGCAAGAGCGAACCTCCATGTGCCCCGTCTCCTGCCGCGGAGTCTGCACTTTGTGGCACCATGCTGAGTCTGTGTGTGCGTACTACGAGTACGTGCAGCATGGATATTCGTAGTGCGAGACTGTCCAAACATGTCCAAACGAGCATATCGGCCTTCGGCACAACTTACCAATTGTTCAAGCTTGGCAGACTCCGCAAGCGAGTTGCTACGTCTGCCACCTAGGCTGAGCTGCCTCCGCGCCTTGTTCCAAACCTGTTCGCAGTTTGCATTGCAGGAGTGGTTGAAGCGGCTTGCGATGTCACACCTAAGGGGAACAGCAGCACCACATCGCAAACTACAAAATATCTTGGGGATCAAACGTCGAGCACACTTCGAAGGTTTAAATAACTTATTTGACTTGAAGTACAACTGGTTGCATCCCCTCGAGTTCTTAACGAAACTTTAACAAATACGTGCATTCCAACTGCAGAAGGACATCATCTGACTCATCTGCGGAGAAAAGGTTGGTCCTGCAGGTGCCGATCGAAGTTCCGTGTGCTCTCGTGAAAGGGTACGGGCTCATTTACGATTAAATGTCTTTGTCTTTGTCTAAATCACAAAGGTGACTTGGCCATCTTCGTAACTCCTCAAGATTCCCAACAGTGACTTCGGGGCATCGGAGAAGGTGTCCGCCAAGCAGAAGATCCGCTCTTGAACATCTCGTGAGGACCTGCAGACAGTCCCATGCAGCTGTGCATAGCCGGGGAGAAGAAGCAGCATCTTCTTCTTCTTCTTCTTCTTCTTCTTCTTCTTCTTCTTCTTCTTCTTCTTCTTGTTCTCATTCTTCTTTTCTTCTGGAGAGTCGTGCATGACACGTGTCTGCCGAAGGAAACCCTGCCTCTCGAACTGCTCCTCCGCATCGTCGTACCACGTGGTATCACGTCCAGTCACTGTCAATCTCATGAGAGGCACTTCACACCTCGAGCAGCGACACATTCGACGCAGAATTGGTCAAATCTGCTCTGGCAAGGCTCAGTCCAATTGAGCCCGGCACAAAAGCCTCTCCCCAGGCCGGATGTCCTGCCACCCCGCATTGCTCTGTCACGCTGCAAAGTCGGCTTCAGGCAACAGGGCAAGGGCTCCATCTTACACCATTTCTTTCGGGCGTATGAAAACGATGCCCTCCCGCCCCTCCAAGACAATCGCGCCTGAATCCGTGCTGCTGCCGTTTGGCTTCGGAATTGGAGCAGTCACCGGTCCTGTGTGGCCAAAACGCCTTGGCCCTTGGTGCCACAGTCAACGATTGCTGCAGACTGGAGGCACCAGCAGAGGCTCCTGCGAGCATCATGTTGCATCTTGGCACAGTCCAGTTTTGGAGGCGTGTGTTTCCGTGTCATTACCTGTAGAGCGGTGGCAAAAAGGGCAGGGGCTGCTAGTTCAAATATGCCAAATTCCCTCCCGTGCAACGATCCAGACGATGCATCTGGGTGCCCCCGAAACGCAAATCGTCAGCGCCCAAATCAGCACACGTGCCCGAAACGCAAGCGCAAAAATCTCCCATCAAGCACGCAGCCGGACACACCCTTCGCAGACATGCCACCCTCCCCCACCTAGAAAACCTGCAACGAAGACCTTATTTCGCTTCAAAAGCGCCAACACCGCGTGGCAGAACATGTATTCAACTCGAAGTCTGAAGAAGCAAAACTGAACCTGCCAACATGAAACAACAAAGCTGTAGCTGTGCGTTGCGAGAGTTTTCGTTTTCATGTTCTCCCCAAAGATGCACCCCAGATCTCCCTGCCAGCAGCTTCTCTCCAGATCTCAAATCTTGCACAGATGCCTCTCTCGGTTTCAAGGGGCAGGCAGCTGAAAGATGCACCGAGCTCGCAAAGGCAGCTGAACATGTCAGGAGCAAGGGGAGGGCTAATTCTTTTTCGGATTGCAAATGTAGTAGACATATCATGATATTTGTACTCTTTTTCTTATTCAGCAAAGTACAGTACTACAATCCAGGATATGGATCCTGATTGCATCATTGTGAGGTCAATCATGGCTCCTGGACCTCGTCCTGCGCTGACTGGCCCTCATGTAAAGCGCCGCTGCAACCGCAGGAGCTGTACATTTGGATGCCTTGTCAAGGGCCTTGTCAGGCATCTGAGCAAGGCGCCACTCGAATCAGCAGAGACGACTGGTGCATACTGGTGCTGTTTTTGGGACGTGCTTAATGAACAGCACTTGCGACACAAGCGCTAAGCAGCGCAGCAAGGAAGCGCGGCAAGGCAGTGCGGCAAGGCAGCGCGGCAAGGCAGCGCGGCAAGGCGGCGCGGCAAAGCGGCGCGGCATAAGCGGTGCACAACAGGCCTGTCTTGCTGGATGCGGGATGCCACCATGACGCCATGCCGTGCCCGTCAGGCCACAGCCAAGGCCACAGCAAGGCCCACTTGGGAGCGTTGGGAGGGCCAGGTTCCAGGGCGCAGACCAGGCCATGGACCCCGCAAAGCACGCGAATTCTCTAGACTACAACGCCGCAGAGGTATGGTGTACTGGCGGATGCCCACTGACTCTATTGATCTTCCATGGCAGCAGGTTCTTTTAAAATGTGCGGAAGGCTGAGGAGCAGTAGTTGCTACGCTTTGAGCAACATGCAAAGTGCACGCGGACATGTCTAGAGTGCGCCAAAAGCTCCAGACGTGAACATGAAGCTTCTATCGTCAAGTGAAACAGGTACTCGATCAGGTCGCAGATCTGCGGGCTTCAAAAACACAACAGCTGTCTCGGCGCCACACGCGCAAAGAAACATGACGCCCTTGATGGGGAAGATGTTCTTCTGAGTGAACTCCTGACCATCACTTGCTCATTTGCCAATGGCATACCAAGCATTAAGAAGCTGCGTAAGTTGCAGCAAGATTTCGTGAAAAAGCCTTAGGCCTTCGTATGCCTTCAGCCCCCAGACTGGGAGCCCAGACAGCGCCCATCTGATAGAAGATGCAGCCGATCATGATCGATGGAGGCAGCCGAGACATGATCTCAGTCCAAAGGTGAGTCATCCATGGTACAAGGGTTTTAAACCCTACATTAGGGTTTAGGGGGGTTTGGGTTTAGGGGTTAGGGTTTACCCTAAATTAGGTTTTAAAGGGGTTTGGGGCCCAGGGGTAAATATTCACTCGATTCGGAGACATCTGTGTGGAACTTGAAAGATCTGTCGAAGGCGCAGTGCATCGAGGCCTGTCACGGCCGATGTATGTCAGAGGCCCACTCGTGACCCATATAGATGTTGCAATCGTAGTGCACGCCGCTATCTTGCCCCTCCTGGAATCCTAAACCTGGAATTCTAAGGTGCGAAATCCTCGTGCTCACCAGATTTCCTGTGCTAGCATTGCTGGCCATGCAAGACGAATTCTGGGTCGCGGACACCTCGGAAGAACCTCAGTGGAGAAACAGACTAGATTACTGGCAAAAGGAAGTACCAACGCTCGGCCGGCCTACTTGCTGCAGTGCATTCTAAACCAGTCATCCTCCACAATGGCCTATGATGGCACAGGAGCAACTGCAAAGTTGCATGAGAACTGCTTTCCTATCACAGAAGCCAAGCGCAGCCACGGCAGAAATGGTCCAACTAGCATGCAAGCCGAGCAGTAGGCTTCTTTTTGTTCTTGAAGTTTTCCAGAAGCGTACGCCTGGTCCTTGGCATCGAGTCAAGAACATCGAAAGGGACCTAAGAACTACTCTGCCCTTGATGCTGCATCTCGGATCCTCCCCACGACAGGCAACACACCCTGAAGAGAGGTTGAACCTGTGACCACACTGACACTTTAGACTTTCCGCAAGCGAACTTTGGCCCTGGCAGAATGCACGTTTGTCGCCACATGCTCGGCATATTCTCTGCCTAGGAGATCCACAACTTGTGTCCGAAAAGACAAGACAATTCAAAGACGCCCGAAGAGGTGAGCCGAACAAAGAAGCATTTTTGGCGTCCTTCCACGTCTTCATCGAGTCTCTAGAATCTGACAGGGTATTTGTCGGATTCAAGCATTGTCGGAAGGCAGCGATGGTGCCTATCAGCATCCCAAAAACAAAGCAAAACACCCGTAGCATCTCATAACAATGACAAGCTCCATTGCTGGCACGGACATCAGTCTTGACTGCAAAAAAGGTAGGTCTGCGCAAGCTGTTTCTCGGCAAGATTTGGCAAGTGCAGTACGCAGCATGTTTGTCAAAATCATATTCACAATATTCAAAACTCCTCGAGATCGGGTGCCTGTGCCGAGAATGCAGACCCACGTAGCTGATTCGAAATGGTAGCTATCCGCCGCTCCATGGTATTGGGAGGGTGAGAAGCTACTGCGAGGGTGAGAAGTAAAGCCGCGCATCTTCACCGAGCTAACGCTGATTTCAGATGGAGCATGATGGAGGCCTATGGAGGCGGGTTGCCACGCGAGGGCTGGCGCATACGATCGCGTACGCACAACTTTTCAGGCAAGAAGGCCCAGCACGGTTTCGTCGTGTCTGCGGGGAAATGAATGCCGGGAACTCACAGGCCGGTCAATTTTGGAGGGTACTAGTACTACTACTTGTGCTACTTCTACTACATAATCGGGACACGGGAGGACGCGGACGTGGGACACAGGACTGGGAATGCGGAGGTGGGTCGACTTGCCAGAAGTCTACTCTATACTGTGCCCTGCCATAGTACAAACAAGCATATATCAATGTTACCAGTACCAGTAGCATGGGAAGATGACGCAGCTCTTCGATCCAATGATGATGCACACAGCATATGGCCATCACCACGTTGTCACCTTGACCTGTTGCAGGAGTTTCTCAAACTTCTCCGTGGCCATCAAAGCTGCTTAGGTTCTTTTGAGTGAGAGCTACCACACGCTCATGGGCTGAAGGCTGGTTGCGTGCAGACAGAAGCGTCTGAACCGCGTCGACTGGACAGTCAAGAACCTTTGGATGGGTCTGCGATCACGAAACGATCAACGCGTTGAAACTGGACAGTCAACAAGCTTTGGCAGCTTGGATGGGTGTATGAGCACAAAACGATCAGCGCGTTACAGGGTTGGCTAGTGGGTAACATGTTCTCTCGACGAACATGACCTGCAGACCCCTTGATTCCTCCATGCAAAAACAGGATATAGTTGCACGTTGGTGTGGTGCAAAGCTTCTCCGCTATAGAGCTGTTACCAGTCCTGCGATCACATCAGTCACTCTGCTTGGCAGCGAAGCTCTGCAATGCTGGCGCGGCTTGGGATCTGTAATTTGCCAGCTCACAACATTCACATGTGTCAGGCCCTTATCGCGTCTCTTGCATCTGGACGGCCTTCGTATCTGAACCTCTGAAAGGCCAGCAGGCTGCTTGCAACGATGCTAAACAACATCATGCACCTGTGCCTGGGTTCCACAGCCTGTGCTGCTGTTTCATTGGGTGACTTGGGACGAGTGGACTAGATGCCCGATCCAGGATCTAGCACAGACCAACGGCTAAAGCGACTGTCACAGCATCTGAATGTGCTTGGCTGGACAGTCAACAGGCTTTGGCAGCTTGGATGGGTCTGCGAGCACAAAACGATCAGCGCGTTACAGGGTAGGCTAGTATAGTGCGTAACATGTTCTCTCGACGAACATGACCCGCAGACCTCTTGATTCTTCCCTACAAAAACAAGACATATTTGCACGTTGGCATGGAGCAAAGCTTCTCCGCGATAGAGCTGTTACAAGTCCTGCGATCACATCCGTCACTTTGCTTGGCAGCGAAGCTCTGCAATGCTGGCCCCGCTTGGGATCTGTAATTTGCCAGCTCAAGCAAGCTCACAACATTCACATGTGTCAGGCCCTTATCGTGTCTCTTGCATCTGGACGGCCTTCGTATCCCAACCTCTGAAAAGGCCAGCAGGCTGCTTGCAACGATGCTAAACAACATCATGCCCGGCACGAAGCAAGCTGCCCCCTATCATGGCAGAATCTCCCGCTGGCACAGTGGGTTCTACAGCCTTTGCTGCTGTTTCATTGGGTGACTTGAGTGGACCGGATGCCCAATCCACGATCTGAACGCACCTTGGTGCGAACGGAAGACTGGACAGCCAAAATGGCTTTGGCTGCCTGGATGGGTCTGCGATCATTGGTAGTATGAAGCAAAAAAACATGCTCTCTCGGCGAATGGGACTCTTCACCACGGTATGAATTCAAAACCTGCGAAGAGCAGACCCGCAGACCCCTGGATTCTTCCCTACAAAACCAGATATATTTGCACATTGGCGTGGTGCAGAGCTCCCCTCTCCTTGCTTCGTAACAGAGAACTTCTCTCACATCAGTAGGTGCCTTCTATCTCACTCTGCTTGGAAGCGAAGCTCTGCAGCAATTTGTACAAGTTCGGTGCTCATGCTGCCCTGGCATCTGCGATTTGCCAACGCAAGCAAACTCACAACGTTCAGATGTGCCAGTCTCTTCTTGAGTCTCTTGAGGGCCTTGGCATTCAAATCGTGCCCTTGCACGGAGATTCCTGCGAGCTTGGCCTCTTCCTCCAACATGCGGACGGCCTCCCAAACAATTGGCCGTGCGGCCTCTGCCGCTTTGGCCTCCAATACCTCCGAGATGATCTCCAAGAAGTCGCCATAGGGAAGCTTGTGGAGCATCGCACGCTGGTCCCTGTCCAGCTTCACCTGACGCAAACCGTACAGCATGATCTGCGAGTTATGCCTGGCAACTAGCTTCCTACTTGAACGTTGCGATGTCGCTTTCTCCAACCCCGGCCTCGCGCGGATGCTGACAGTGGCAGAAGCCACAGGCACGGCCATTCTGGCATTCAGCATTCTTCGTCATGTACACACATGGACGACGGCAGGCGATGGGATGGCCCAAGCTACCAACACTCAAAGGCTCTTCCGGCACTTCGGGTTGCATGGCAAAAGAGGCATCTCGAGAATCTCGAGTAGCCTCCAGGCCCTGCACGTACCCGTTGCATGTCGCGGATAAGTCTGTACTGCCCGCCCCTCCGGCGGGATTGTGGTTACCCCCAAAAGCAGGCCATGGTGCCAGCATCTGCTCAGGCTGCGGACACTCAAACACCGCCATGACGAACTCTGTCACACCGACACCCCGGCTACGTGGCTACACGGTTCCAGATACTAGTCGGTGATCTGAAAACTGCAGGTTCACACGTCAACAGCATTCACAAGCCATTAAGCACCCTGCCAGGCATCGACGTCACCCAATAACAGCTTGCAAGCTGTCTCACGGTCCCTGTAGATGTGAGGTGCGATCTCTCTGAGCTGTGGGCCTTCCCTGGAATCTTGCCCAGGGCTGCGGCTGGCTTTTGGGCCGCCGGCGCGACCTCACAGATGCGAATCATCGAATGCCAGGCTTGGCCCCCATGAGACAAGCCAACATACAGGGCACCTTCTGCCATGTCTGGATCCACTTGCTGCTCTCATCCTCCAGCGCATGCTGAAAGTCCAGCGGTCGGTGCACCGAACGTTTTGAACGTGAGCCCTTGCAATGCCCATCTCTTCATGCGCTTATAGATCCCCTGGCCTGCACAACTTGTACGTAGTGGTGCGCTGGATTTGTCTTCTCTGGCCTTGCGAGGAACGGACAGTGCGTGGCCAAGCAGTTATCCAAAATCATTCAAGATCAACGCCAACTAGCAGAATGCGCGGAACTCGGTGAATGACCGTCATTCGCAACTATGCGCCTAGGCAGGGCAATGTCAGAATCTGACACTTCCGTCTTGGCGGCTGGCGTGGGAGCGCCATGCTTGGTGAAGTAATCCTCCGCCTGCGCTACCTCGCAGGCACTCTCACTCATGATAGCTTAACCTCGCTTAAGCGAGGGGGCCGGGGCATCTCGTCGTACGTTTTTTACACTGCAGCATATCGGAACACGTTGTGCTGCCGCAGGCTTCCAGCGCCATTGAGTTAACTTGCCCGGTGTCCGGCAGACCAGAGGACTTAACAAACATGCATGGAAGACTTTGGAAGACTTTATGGGAGTGGAAACCTTGCACCAAAGCTAGAATCTTGAGACATCACTGAGACACACAACAGCCGCAGGCCTCGCCACTGTATACAACGAAACCCACCTGCCAGAAGCAAACGCATCTGCATGGCACTGCCGCATGGACAGGGACCATCTTCAGGCACAAATTTCCGCACGCCAGTGATCAGTATCGATGCCTGATGCCTACATTGTAAACTGCGCAGGGTTCGCCAGACTCGGGCTAGGGAATACTACGTTGGCATTGGACGTACCATGCGAAGGAGTTGACGGGAAGCAATGCACATCGACCCACCCAAAAGGGCACATCCCGACGCAATCCCGCAAAGCTAGCCTCCATCAGCAGCAGGTGGTCAAATTCGCTGAAAATTGCCCACGAGGGCCTGGGTCATGCAGTTCGGTTAGCAGATGACAAGGACGACATAGCTGCCAACTCTGAGACTCCCAGGATCATTCCGATAACGCCACCGCCCAAGGCAAGACCCCTGTGTCGGGTCCCTTGGTGCGCTGCTGGTGAATGGCAGCGAGAACCGTGACACCACGCCCTTGCCGGTCGAGCAAAGATGCAGCTGAAGTGCATAATCGGGTCAGCCCAAGGCTGACGCAACTACAAGTGTGCAGCATAGGCTAACATCTGTACACGGAGGGTTGTGAGTTGCTTGGATTCTCGAACGACTTGGTCGAGTGGTCAACAGCAGGGGCAGATCAGCAACCTGGAAACAGCTGCCAACAAGCCCACAAGACCTCATCTCTGTCTGAAATCTCTGGCGGTTTTCTTGACGACACGTCTATGAACGGTTCAGCAAACTTCGACACTTAGGATTTCAATGCTTTGGCAAAGGCAGGATCGTCTTGCAATCTTACTCATCTTACTGTCATGGTCACCTTGCTTCACAACCAGGCTCCCGACGTCTGATACGCATGTGACAGACACTGGTAATGGCATGCGGCGCATTCCCAAGATCGTATCAGCAACTTGTCCATGTGAGCAGCGACACAATGAACTCGAATTCTGGGCGTGCTGCCGGCCAATGCTTTGAGAAGCGCCTTGGAGTACCCAGTTTAGGAACAAGAAGCAAGCTGAAGCAGAACTGCAGTGTCCCGAATATCAAACTACTGGAACTGGAAAGGAAGCTTCCGTATGCCCCTTGCCACGATGTTTGCAGCTGCAGCCGAGTCGAGGCCACTCGTGGGCTCGTCGCAGAGAAGAACCTTCCGGGGAACTAGGTGCTACGAGGAAATGCAAAAGCCTCTGAAGGTACCTCGGGCAAGCCACCAATGATTGCCATGCCTTATCTGAAGGCATGTGCATGGCATGCTGCACATCGGGTATAGGAATTCATGTTGCATTGCTGCGCTGTTCTGCCCTGCTTGACCGCTGCATGCTCATGAAACAAAAGCCACACGGCCCAGATGCCAACACTCAACCGCCGGCGCTCACCGCCTCGGGCATGTTGGCGATTTGACTACGCACTTCTCGCTGGCTATGTTCAGCTACGCTGATGTCAACCCTGACAGCGCTTGGAAGACCTGGACAGGCCGGACAACTGCGTGACACAAGACACAACAAGCAAAAAATCTGGCGTGGCTGCTTTGGGCTATGACTTATGACAGGCACACGGGATCCCAGCCTGAGATCCCCCGTAGGCCCAGCTTCTCGTCCCCGATGGCCTCGGCCGGGGGGGTCGAAGGCACAAGAAGTTTCAAGCTTCATGATTAAGGAAATGGTCCTTAGACACCCCTTCCTCCACAGCATTTTCGACAAGGCTGTTCTTCTGTCTTTCGTCCGGCACTGGGTGATTTCGAATGACACGGTTGCATTCACCTTTCCATCTCCCGAAGTCCGAAAGAATTGACGTTGGGCTGGTTTCGTGAGGCTGCCCCCTAGAGCAGGCAATGCAACGCAAACCAACGTGCACAGTTGCCGAGCTCTTGCTGGGTGCGATACAGTATCGGCACATTTCTCGATGTTCAGGATCTGAATCACCTCTTCCACGCGCTTGGTCCGTGCCTGACGAGGCATGTCGACCACACAAGCTCGCTCTTGCCGGGCTGGCCGACTGGCTTCAGACTCTGGATGTTTTTTTTTTTGGCTGCGTGCGGCTGCCGGCACGAATGTTTGGGCGAGGAATTATGATAGACCATTTTGCACTGCTTTCCTGGGTATCCGAGTAACAATCAAAGGAAATAATAGTTTTTGGGTGAAAATGCAGAGAAAACAGGGGTTCCGATTTTGAAAATGCAAAGGAAACCGAGGTTTTCCTCTGACAACATCAAGGATAGAGAGGTTTTCTTATCAAAATATACTGGGAATAAAGGTTTCTCCTATTACAGTATGATATAGAAAAACTAGACGTTGTCTTAAGAGGAAACTGAGATTTCCCTATTTAAGGCCTCAAAAGAAATCACATATAAAACGCAAGCCGGGGGGGGGGGGAAGAGTGGGCGCAGCCACCCCCCCAGTTGCAAACCCAATGCTTGTAGCGCAAGTCCTCTTTTTGGCGCGATCTTCTTCATAAAGCAAGCCTGCAGGGCCCGGCCGCAAATATATGTTTCTTTGCAATTTTGCTCATTCTTATGCATTTCCGTAATTATTCTTTCTGTCGCGCTCTCTTTCTTAGCTTCTATTTCCCCTATACGTTGCTTGGAAAAACCATTATTTCCTGTCTACATCCTGTGTGTGTTTAGTAGGAGAATACGAGAACTTCTATTTCCTCTATATTTTGATAGGACTCCCCCCCCCCCCCCCCCCAACCCTTAAAAAAGGGCATACAAAACGCATAAACAGGCATCGAGCACGCTCGTCCGACATTATCGAGTTGTCGTTGCCCTTGGGGTTGCTACTGCATTCCCGATTTGCGGTTCAATCCACGCTTTCGGGTTTTGCACTTAAGGTCTTATTCCTCGCAGTGCACTTGCAGCCACAAGGCTCTTCCTGCGTTGCACCATGATGGGTTTCGCACCTTTCTACACCGCGCAGTGCTGCCGGTATGTGCATACTGCCACACTTGCTGCATTTTGATGTCTTGCCCTTCCAGAAGAGTGATCAGAATGTTTCCTACTGAGTCCTACTGTGCTGCACTGGAAGCTGTATGGGGCTCTCCTCCGGAGATGGCTGCCAGCGACCACCCCCCCCCAACCGGCCCGCACGAACAAGTGTCATGAAGCGTTGGCAAGGGGAGCCATTCAATGACAACCGTCAATCCATTGCTTTGGTCCACAGAGGCTAAACCAGGTCTGGGCCTCGGCGCTCCAAGTGGTGGGCAGGCGGAGCTCGGCGGCGAAGCCCAAGCTGGCAAGTGCTGTGAAGCTGGGAGTGAGGGTAGTAGAGTGTAGTCTTCATTAGCCATACCTACGAATGGTACTCCACCACTCGAATATGAAGATGAGTGCTACTAAACTTACGCTGAGGCGCTGGCGTCTCCCTAGGACTCAAAGCCGCAAGAAAGACGTCCTCTTGTGGGACGGCCTGGGTGGGAAACGCTGAGGGCTGTACAACTCGGAATGAACAACTTCATCTGATGGCGGCTCTGACAAGCACGGCCAACAAGTCTCAGAATGCTTCTGCGTCTTTTCTCGCAGATTTTCGCCAAACCGCTATGCCTTAAGCTGTACTGTTTATCAATTCCCTGAAATATTGAGTCTGAGGAAGCGGCACTTGCCAAGTAGCGCATTGTTTCCATCTTGACTGGCAGGCCATCACAAAGAACCTGTGACATCGGCAGTCTTCTTCTTTCTTCCTGTGCACATGACCCCCCGGAGGGAGGTCGCCCCAAGGGGCGTGCTCAACATCGGCAGTCTCTCTTTTTCTTCTACGGGGCTTGAGTAGTAGGGAAGTTACCGGCAGTCTCAAGTTATCGGCAGTCTCTCTCTCTCTCTCCCTCCCTCCCTCCCTCCCTCCCTCCCTCTCTCTCTCCCTCCCTCTCCCAGTCTTGCAAGGGCTGGTGGTCATCTTGCTAGTTAAACTTCTTTGATTGAATCCGTAGTGAAATTTGCAGCAGCTTAGCAAACCGCACACAGCACATGTCGATGCTTTTGCCCATAGTGCCTGCCCGCACATCTCCGAGCCAGTAGCCTGA